TAGGGACTGAAGTTGCACAGAAAAGCATTGATACAAGTTGCAAGCATTTTATTTAGTGCGATAAGCGTTAGTTTTTAAACTGCTTTTATGATGCAATAGATCCAGAATATTGCCAAAGAACTTCAGTGGCAATTTCAGTGCGAAAACTCCTCCTCTTGCGTAATACCGTGTGAAAAAAAAACCTCTGCAAAATCCCCATTTCTGCAAGGATAAAATTGAAAAATCGATGGAAGATTTTCAACACTTGCGAGCTGAATAAAAATTCCCAAGAACCTGCATTACATATGTATGTAACTAAGAATAGAAAATCACTTCAGTTCCCTCTCAGCCTTCAAAATGAGCGGTCTTGTTGAGTGTTTCGCGGAATTCCTTGCTTTGGAGGAAGTGTATAAGAAATTAAGGCGAATCATCTTCTTCTCCTTCATCCCGTGGCAGAGGATTCGAGAAGACGGCGAATTTGTCACTCTGGGAATTCAATCGACGATCATTTTGAGCAGCATTTTGTTTCTCTTGACGTCTGAAAGTGATTTGCATACTTTGTTCATTTCCCACATTTTCGTCAACGGTCTTATTCTCGTCCTGACGAAGCTTTGCGCTTTCACCGCGAACAAGGAGGAATTGGAGAGAATCTTCGACTGGATTAAATCTCTTCATTCGCCTCTGGCTTGTGATATCGTGAAATCTTCAGCTGCTCTTCATCTGAGCAGGATTCTGAAATATGTGAAAATCACCTTGAAGTATGACGCTAATGTTAATATTACTAATAATAGCGAAATATTGCAACTCCTGCTCGTTTTCAGAGTGCTCTTGACGCTCTATCTTGGTCCAGTTGGAGTGATGATTCTCTACGTAATCGCCACGGACACGATGATCTTCGCAATCATTCTGGAACCGGACAACTCTTGGGGCAACTTCTTAGCCAGACACAGCATTCAATCCATTATGATGATCTTTGGCACAGTTTCTTTCATTTTCTCAGATATCTTCATAATCACAGTCGCGATGTACTTCATTCCATCGCTCAACATCCTTCTCGATTGCATCAGACACTTGGATGATCCTTCTGTGCTGGAAAATGAAGAGAACTTTCTCGTGCTGCTGAACATTTCTCACTGGAAAATCATTGAGAACCTTCAGACGTTCAGCAACGTTTTCTACTATGCATTTATTGCGCAATTTGGAACAAGTTTCAGCATGCTCGTTCTTATGTTCTACATTTTGGGCAGAGCTCAGGACGTCTTTTTCGTTTATCCAATGATTTTGACTGTTTTCTTCCAATTCAGCGGATTTTGCTTCTTCGGACAGTTTGTTTTCAGCAAAACCGAAGAGATCTTCACTGAATTGTACTTGACAAAGTGGCATGAATTCGGCAAGAGAGATAAGCAAATCGTCCTGATGATGATGATGATGTCTCAGAGGCCTTTCGGATTCCAAGCAGCTGGAATTTACGACATCAATCTCATGATGTTTGTCAATGTAACAAAAGTTGCCTTTTCCTACTGCACAATTCTCTACACTCTCACTCAATAACACTAGGCAACAAAAATGACACTTTTTTCTGCCCTTTTTTTGGGGTGTGGATTTTCTGATTCCTTGAGTCATCAGCTTTTCAACGGTACCTTCCTTTTTTCTCTAGACCCTCAAGTTTTCCTTTTAGAGCCTATTTTCCATTTTCCCCTATTTTCACCCACTTTGCCGCACTTATGTGCTCATATCTCGCTCAATTTTCCACGGATTTTCCTCAAATTAGGCTCAAACGATAGCTATTGAAATTACCTACTACTTTGTAAAACATTGTGAGTGTTTTAGATCACTCCTTGTTGGTCAAAAATGAACTTTTGTGAACCACTAGGTAAAAAATTCACCGGGTTTTTTACCACTTTTTTCTAAATATCTCCGAAACGAAGAAACTTTTATGTTGGATTATTTTTCCTATGTGTAGAGCACTTCAGGGGATGCATTTCCTCCATACATGCCGAAGTGATATTTCTTTTCTATCTGCCGGAAAAACGAGGTTTTTCCTCGACAAATTTTGCTTTTTTATGCTACGCGCACCCGCTAAAAAACTGAAAGAAGGTACATTTTGCTGTTTACGCACTCATTTAGGTAATGATAATGCTTAGATATTAAAACAAAAGAGAAAAAAGGCCAATATCTCGACTTTTTAGCTATTTTAGGTATTTTTTTGGTCTTAATGACAACAAGTCCATAAAAAACACAAAAAATTCACGTAAAATAGCTAAAAAGTCGAGATATTGGCCTTTTTTCTCTTTTGTTTTAATATCTAAGCATTATCATTACCTAAATGAGTGCGTAAACAGCAAAATATACCTTCTTTCAGTTTTTTAGCGGGTGCGCGTAGCATAAAAAAGCAAAATTTGTCGAGGAAAAACCTCGTTTTTCCGGCAGATAGAAAAGAAATATCACTTCGGCATGTATGGAGGAAATGCATCCCCTGAAGTGCTCTACACATAGGAAAAATAATCCAACATAAAAGTTTCTTCGTTTCGGAGATATTTAGAAAAAAGTGGTAAAAACCCGGTGAATTTTTTACCTAGTGGTTCACAAAAGTTCATTTTTGACCAACAAGGAGTGATCTAAAACACTCACAATGTTTTACAAAGTAGTAGGTAATTTCAATAGCTATCGTTTGAGCCTAATTTGAGGAAAATCCGTGGAAAATTGAGCGAGATATGAGCACATAAGTGCGGCAAAGTGGGTGAAAATAGGGGAAAATGGAAAATAGGCTCTAAAAGGAAAACTTGAGGGTCTAGAGAAAAAAGGAAGGTACCGTTGAAAAGCTGATGACTCAAGGAATCAGAAAATCCACACCTCAAAAAAAGGGCAGAAAAGTGTTGCACAGTGTAAGTTGTCATGTCATAAAATTGACAAGAATAAAATATTTGCACAGTTTGTTTAAGCTTTTCTTATTTTCCCGGGATTTTTTTTTTAATCCTTGAAAACATATTTTGTCTTCTGGAAGTTTGAACATCCTGAATAATTAATTCAGGTCACTGAGTGAGAAGTTTTCAAGCAATGTTGCAGCTTTTAGCGATTAATATGCATTCAGCGTCCTTTTCAGTGATCATTTGCATAAGATTTTTATTTAAATTTATTTAGAACTGAATTTCGCTGAGAGATGACGAGATTTCTCCTCTTTTCTGTCAATTTTCTCCAAAGAAATGAACAATTGTTGTTTAACAACGGTTAAAGTCTGCGGACTGAATGTTATAATTGCTAATTAATCTGTCTTTTACGTCCAGAAATTGTCCCATGACTCATCTTCGGCACACTTTCTCTCAAATGACACACGCGAAAATGGGTCTTTTTCGCGCAACAGGAAATGCCATCTTCACGGTAAAGAGTCTTCAATTTGCACAATAAATTGATTTGGAGTCGAATTTCCTTCCCGCCAAGTGCACAGTTCACATGACTGTCGCTCCGTGTCCGTCTTGGGCCATTTTTCACCGAGATCACCTCATTTGCGGCGAAGAAAAACCGTGAGTGCGCTGGATGGCAGCTGAAAGAGGAGCTGAGCTGGGCTGCCTTTTGTCTGGCCACCACCTTAATAAATGATTCGATTTTTTGCGCTCAACAACACGGTTGTGGTTAATTTTTCTGCTGCGATGCATTGTTCAGTTTTACTGTATCTCTTCACAGCTCAAATTCCTCATTTTTATTCACCCAAAAATGCATGCCAATTTTTTTTTCCCTTCTTCCCTATACACTTTACTGCTATCTTGTTGTCGCTCCACGAATTCGGGGGCAAATGCATCCCACCATGCAAAAAAGTTCATTGACATTCGGATGTTTTGTGTGGTGTGATGGAGAGATTCTTCTTGATGGCTTCTCTCTCTCTCGAAGCGGATTTTTTGGGCAACAATTGCCAATGGAAAAAGAAAAATCCCTGTGTTCGCGAACCGCGCGTCATTTACATATATTTTAATTTGTATTGCAACACAATTCGTCTCATTTGCACTCAACTGTGACCAATTTTACATTGTGCCCAGCAATAATTTAGTGCCACACATGAGTTTTAGAGTCATCATCGCATCTCTCTGCACAATCCATTTCACTCTCCTGCCCTTTGTTGGCGCTCGCTTTGCTCCCCTTTTGCCGTTGTTGGTCGACAAATAAAAAACGGCGACAGAAAACACTTTGTAAAAATACTGGCCCCGAAAAACTCACTCTTTTGTTGCACACATTCCTTCTCATATGTATGAAGAGCTCACCTTCGTTGGCGCTCTTTCAACCCCCCCATTTTTGAGTTCACCAGTGAGAAAAGGTGCAAAAAGTCGTTCCCTCCACTGGAGATTTTACACTGTGTCTCACTCTAAATGCAATGCATATCACTACTATCTATTCCATCCTTTAATTCAGTCCTTGGAGCGTCTAAAATGTCTCCAAGTCAACAGGGATTTTCCTTTCGAACCCCTCAATTGCAGAAGAAAGAAACTATGCATTGAATGGCATTCAAACATTTATTTAATGCACTCCAAGTTTGAACTCAATAAATAACAAATAAAGTTCTATCTAAGAACATGCGTGAAATGAATAATAATTTCCGATGAACCGATGAAAAATAATCATGAATTTGGCACCTAAATAAATATGCTTACGCTTGTTGAAGGCGAAATTCAGTTGCACAGCGCTAAAATTTGTCACTTTCAGCATTAATAATTCACCGATTTCACGTCCACTTTGTCGCATCACATTTTAGCCACACTGTTAATTGCCCCTCTCGTGCCTTCCGCCCCACGGGGGTAGTTTTTGGGGGTGCGCGCTTCATGCCACATTTGCTTTTTACACACTTCAATGTTTAATCATTATGATAAGCACTGCCATTGTTTGCTGTTTGCAGCTGGAAAAATAACATTTTCACAACCCACCTCGCACTAATTGAACGCGCAAATCAATATTTGCCCACATCAGAGTCCTGGCCGCCCGCCCCCGAGCGTCGCGGTGCAATTCAATCGATGTGCCGGAAAAATCACTTCAGGTCTACTCTTAAAATTTTATTAATTCTCTCAATGTTCAATTTGTTCATCTACACACTTCTTTTCCCGCCTTTTCCACCCTCCCCCAATTTGCCACCTTCGCGCCACTCACGCTGGCGAGAGGATCCGGCAGAGAAGGAGGTTGAGAGACAAGAGCGAGAGGAAAGATGCACACGCGAATGTGTGCGTGAAATTATCACAAAAACATCAATTTGTGAAATATCATCGCCAAGACCGTTTCGAGTGCTCCACGATACTGACCCTCGAGCTCACGTCCATTTTACGCCTCTTGGAGTCTGTAACGTGAAAATACTCATCATCTGGCGACGCACCCGAATACTCAGCCGCCCGCCTACCTCCTCTGCCGCCGCCCTCCTGCTCCGCCGGCTCCTGGCTGTGCCTGTGCGTCGACCCGTTGCTCGAGTTCGACACGGAGCTGAGATCGCGATCGCGGTCGCGCTCGTGCTCATAGTGATCGCCCGCGTAGTAGCGCTCCACGGGCGCGTCATAGTACGACGGCGACGGCACCTTGCGCTCGCGGCGCTTCTCCTTGTCCCTCTTGCGGCTCTTGGCCTCCTCGCGCTTCTCGCGCTGCCGCTCCTCCCGTCGGATCTCCTTCGGTGTCTTCTCCTTCGACGCCGCCGTCCTGTTAGACTCGCGCGCCTCCTTCTTCGCCAGCACTGGCGTCGCCACGGACTCCTTCTCCACCTTCTCAGCCGCAGGCGCCGGCGCCACCTGGTTGGACGACGCCTTGGCCGCCGACGACGTCTTGCTGCTGCTCTTCTCCACGCGCTCCTTCACCTCCTTTTTCTCTGCAACAGCCACAAAGAAAGGAGAAATGCATTCAGCGTCAATTTGTCTCACAAATCAAACATGACGATAGCTTTGCCAGCAAAATAAATTAGCCACTGAAGAGCATCCACTCGCTATTATTGTGATTGGCACAATAAAAAGATTCTCGTCTTTCACTCTTCTGCAGAGTAAATAATATTGCAATTTCCATTCAATTTCTACAGAATTGATTTACGCTTAAAAATCATCACAATTTGCTGAATAATACAGAAACTTTCCACTCAGATTTGAAGCAAATTGCCAAAAATGTCGTGTGAAAAGGTTCAGAGAGAAGATTAAATAAAACCCATTGTTTGATAAACCCCACACATAGCAATGGTGATTTTCGTTAATTAATTACAACGCAACAAAGTACCCAAATACTGTTGTTAATGGAATCCGAATTGATAATAGTATTTAAAAATGCCCGCACAGAAAAAAAAGGATTCATTTTAAGCGCATTATAGTGAGATTTCAACTTCATTTCACGAATTTGTACGTATTTTGCATGATTAATTGAGTTACTTCGAAATGAGTCACACAATGTTTGTCTTTATACAAGAAATTCCCAAACATCCTTCCGACAATTGTTGGTGAAAATATGAAGTGCACTCTTTATCCTCGAACAATCCACAAAAGCATCTTCTGCACAATTCATGAGAACTACACTGAGATCTGAGAAGATGCAATTAATCAAATGAGAAGCACTCTCAGCGCCTGATTGATAGAAATGAGAATGCTTTCAGCTTGTTGGCAAATCTCACAAGCAATCCGCAAAGTGGCGGAAATGGAGAAATGAAGCACTTCAACTCACCAGCCTTCGAGTCTCCGTTCACGACTTTCTCAGCGGGCGCCTCCTTGACCGGCTTATCGGCCACCTGGTGGAAGTCGCTCTCCCTGATCATCTGGCTGGCCTTCGCCTTCAGCTGGCCAATATAGCTGGCCGCCAGGATGTACAGGTCCTGGCGCTGGTTCTTCTCCTCGTCCTTCACCTTCTCCACCTTCTTCTCAATGATCTGCGCCAGCTTCGTCAGCACCGGGAAATGCGGCAGGATCTTCATGAGGATGATGAGAGAGTTGCGAATCTGCATGTAATCCTTCGAGTCCAGACAAAACACCATCGCTTTGGTGATCTTGTAGTGCCACTTGTGACACACATGCCGATAATTCTCATATCCAACGTGATCGTTGGCCTCGCTGAACTGATTGCTCACGCGGAATTTCGTGACAAAGCCGGGAAAGTTGGCGCACTCCTTGTTAAACACCGCCTGATCGGCATGCCAACGCATCACCGTCTCCAGCATGGCGCAGAGAAATCGCCCATAGCGCGTTGCCTCATTCTCCGTGCAAGAAGTCACCGAGTTCGTGATGTCACAGAAGATCTGCAAGTAATCCAGGTGAATCAATAAAACGCCAAAGAATTCAAACAGACAGAGAAATAGAGAAAAACCAACTCACTCTGTCATAGCAGAGAAGCGTGGAAAAATTGGCAGTTTTCAGACTGTGAATTGTGTGGACGAATTTGGCGCAGAAGATGGCATCCAGAGCCGTGAAGGTGCAGCGCGGAAAGAGGCAGAGCTGCAGGAATTGCGTTATGGTCTCATTCTTCGCCGACTTGACGCTTCGCGACAGAAACCACGAGTCCTTCTCCTGCGACAGGCGATGCATCGTCTTGTCCACATGTTCTTGCTGCTTCTTGCGCTCATCCTGCAGCTTGTCAATTAGCGCCAAGTACCTCTCCTGCTCCTTCTTCCCCTTCGACGCGTTCTGCAAGACAAACCACACATGAGACTCTGCCATTCTTCACAGCATTTATCAAATCATCGAGAAAATACATTTGCCACCGCAAATTATCACCACTAATTTAGTGTCCAGCGTCTTTAGAATGCTTTTCTAGGTCAAATAACATTTTAATACACGCATTCTTATGATTTAACTGAAATTACAATCAATAAAATGATCAATTTTGAAACATTAGAGCCATAAATGGTGTATTTAATTTTTAAATTGTCTACTTCAGAAGCTATTTGATCGATTATTACTTTAATGAAAAGTTCTACAAAGGATTTTCAGAAGATTTCTCATGATATCTTGGCTTTTACTCAAAGAATTCATTCTCTTGCTTCAAAATCACCTTTAGAATCTCTAAATTTGCTAAAATATCCTGCCTAACGCTTGAAACATGTCGCAAGACACTCACCATCTCCTTCGATTCCATCACTTGACTCGACAGCTGCTTCAGCTTGCCAATCTCTTTCTGGTAACTCTCGGCCGGCACTTGCAAATCGTACATGCTCAGCGACCAAAAAGTCACCAGGAACTGCGGACTGACGTCCTCCCACACCTTGGGCGGGTGGAGCGGCCGCACGGACTCCACAATCGGCACCATCACGGACGCCGTGGCGTCCAAGTACTTGCCCAACTTCTGTGACGTCGTGAGTTTCTTCGCATTGGGATCGGCCTTCCTCAGCTGGTCGTACTTTTGCTGCAAGAGACGGAAGAAATAAGTGAGAATGTGACTGGAATATCAATTGTAGGAAAATCACATGAACATTAACAAAAACTCATGCATTTGAAGCGCTACTAAGCAAAACAAACAAACAGAAAAACTGAACATGAAGCAGAGATAAGTTGCTTGAATTACAATTGTTGGATATTTTGTTGGCAATTGAGGAAATGTTTTCTCCAAAGAACTTCACGAACGGAGTTGAGAAGTGAATGAATGATTTTTGGCGTTAAAATTCATTGAAATTATCTTCATTTTCTATCTAATGTTATCACTTGTGAAAATTTACTGCAAAATTACTCTTAATAATAAAGATGAAAAACATTGAGTGTCATCTAGAAAATTCCACTCATCTCAACTCTGTTCATCCACAAAACGTCCCTGACGTGAAATTCCCCAGCAAAGTGCGGAGAAGACCTTCGCAGTTGCGCTCAATTAAAATTATGTTCAAGCACACAGAAGCATAATAGCAGCCGCACAATTGTGGCAAGATAAGCAGAGAGAATTCACGCGGAGACTCACATTGATTTGGTGGGAGAACATCGGACGCGCCAGGAAGAATGCCACGTCGGAGTGGATGTGATACTCCTGCAGCATGCTGTGGATCGACGGCAGACGCTCCATGTACTCCTCCACGGTGTACGTGGAGCCGAGGAAAGTGCCGAACTGCACCAGCGTGTCCTGGCACTGGTCGTACAGCTTCCCCACCAGCTTCAGGTGGCTGTGCGCCGTCTCGCGATAGATCACGCAGTGCTTCTGCTGCGCCATCAGCAGACACAGCGCCACGCTGAGATCATTGCTGGCCAGAGCCTCCTTCAGTCGCTGCGACGACTTCTTCGTGTTGCGCACCTGGCTGAAGTAGCCCGCCTCGCCGCGCAGCTGTTCGCCGCCGCACATGGCGCTGAGCTGGTCGTTGGTCATCTCCTCGGCCGCCTCAATGCCCGCCATCTTCTGCACCACCTCCTTCAGGATCAGCAGATCCAGGCTCTTGTGCGCCTTCAGCTGGTTCGCCACGTACTGCAGCAGTCCGCTCAGCTCGATGTTGTACTTTTTGTAAATGGCGCCGCAGAAGCTCGCCAGGCTCTGCAGCCACATGGACAGCGACGTGCCGTCGTGCTTGAACCTGTCGCGATCCGCCTGCGCCAGCGCCTCCACCAGACAGTAGCCCAGCACGTCGTACGACAGCGACGTCAGATACTTGAGCGAGTCCACGACGGGCCCAATGAGGTTGTCGTAGATCTGGATTTGCAGCAGGATCTGGAAGGAAACCCAAAATCAAGTAGAAAATCACCATTAATCAGAACATTAGATTTTCAGACCACTTACATAGTCAAAGAGGAATCCTGGCGAGCAGTGACTCAGTTTGCCTATCAGACGCCCCACCGGCTTGATATTCTCCTTGCTCACCCTCTTCATCAGTGCCTTGATCTGCTTCTGCGCCGCGCCGCGCTTCTGGATCAGCTTCGGCTGCGATAAGTACGTCTCGTTCTTCCAGCGACCGTACAGGCTGAAGCGATTCTGGTAGGGGAAGAACTTCACCACCGTCCAGATCTCCTCGGCCACGCAGCAGTTGCAGTCCAGGTAGGACAGCGCCGGCAGCACGGCGGCGTCCAGCAGGGAGAGAATGTCGTGATACAGCAGCTCAGTTTCGCTCCCGGCCGCTGGCGTCTGCGAGGCATCCACGCCGGCGTCCGCCAGGATGGCCTTCATGAGGCGCACGAGCTTGTACAGCAGCACCGGGTCGTAGTGAAGCGACGGCCCGAGGGCGATGAACATGGGAAAGGCGTGCACGCGCAGCTTCGGGAACGTCGTGACTTGTGGCGGCGCCAGGCGACTGGCGTGCGGCGGGATGACTCTCCTCTTGATGTACGCCTTGGCGCACTTTGCACTGTACACGGGCTCAATGATGGCGTGCACAAGGCTGCAAAGCGCCTTGGCGATCGGTTCGTGCACAATCACGCACTGTTCCGGCAGTTTCTTGATCAGCTGCTGCGCCGTGATCCAGTCGCCGACGCCCAGGAGCGCCTCGCACAGCCCAAACTTCTGGTTGTTGCTGTACTTGTCCTGAGGCACGTCCTTCTCCGGCTCGCTCTCCGGCTCCTTATCCTTGTTTGTCGACACGATGTTCAGCTTCCTCACGAACTCTTTGGCATTGCTCATCTCCGTCTCCCAGTCCGTGATGATGGTCTTGTCCGAGGGACTCAACTGCAAGAAAACACCTCATCAGCCCCTGGAGCGTCGCGGGAAGCGCAGCAGACACTCACCCAAGAGTAGATCTCGTCCAGTGATATCACACTGTTCTGCAGCAGAATCGCCGTGACTTTGTACAGCGACTCCGGCGTCCCGATGTCAGCGTAGTGACTGTACTTGTAGCCCAACACCTCGCAGATGATCTGCCCGTCCGGCATGTACGCCTGCAGGAGCGGAATGAAGAGCCTGTCCTGATCCGGACGCGTCTCAAACGACTCCAGAATGATGTCGAGCACGCGGTTTGGGTCGGAATTGAAGCAGCCGATGAGAGACTTGATAATCTCTAGCATGCTCTGCACTGTCACCGTGTCTGACATCTCCTTGTTCAGCTCCGTGATCAGTTTCGCGTAGCCCTCGCTCTCCTCCCGGAATAGGTTGAAGCGGCGCTGTTTGTAGCTGCAGAAGAGAAACCTTAGCAATCTGCCTTGATCCCTTCCTCAGCTCTACTCACTAAAGCTTGGTCTTGACTTTGATGAACTTTGTGTAGAAGTTCCTGTTCTTCACCGTGCCCACTTCCTGCAGTGTGTCGATCTCCAGGCGCTCCTTGAGCAGCTTCTCCGACAGGAACTTCTCAGTGGCCTTCACGATAGTGCAGAACGTCTGACGCTCCTCCTGCGACGAATCCCCGCCGCTGGCGCTCGTCTCCGCGTCCACCACGCCGATGACGTCCAAGATAATCGATGGCATGTCTGAGTGGAGGTACTGCAAGCCGGAAACACAGTCAGACTCTCTTCCCCCAGGCGGAAGCGCGCTATACTCACCGCCAGCTCGCTGAGGGCGCTCAGCACGGAGTCCTTCCGCAGCTGCCCGCGGACGCCGTGCGACAGCAGCTCGTAGACGGCATGGCTGATGCTGGTCTTGCGGTCGGCCTTGGTAAACAGTGGGCTCTGGCTATCTTTCAATGCCTTCTTGCATTGTCTCAAGCTGCAAAGAGACAGGGAAACAGAGAATGGGGTGAGACCGCATGGAGGCTCGCCAGCCGCCAGGACGAGAGCGACCCGGATCGGAGTGGTTCACAGGAGGGCACGCGTCGGCCAACCGGATGGGCACGGGTGAGCCCCACCGCCCGCCTGGAGGCTCTGCTGACGACACACGGCATGGCGTGCTTTGTTGGGGGGCTTCGCGTTCACGGAATCGCCGTCTCTCCTTCGAATCTCTCCTCCCCGCCGCACTCTCTCGCCGCCGCCGCGGCCGGCGGATACTTAGCAACATTCTACAGTAGAACTGAGGTCAATTACAATTCGCTTTTGCCACTTCTTTCCCAATTTGTCTGTTTGAAAATATCCGCACTTGAGGCCATTTTCCAAAGCACTTCTTCTTCTTCTTGCCTCTGCGATGAAAAATCGATGATCGCGACAGTCAGCGCCGCGTGGCGGAGAAATCAGCCTCGAGGCGAGCAGTCGATGATTTTCTATGTTTTGCTGGACAACTCGCTTGCCGGTGTGTGTTTTTGTGGGTGTTTTTCGCAGAAAAGCCACAGTAATTCAGTGAAGTTCTGACTAAATTACGCTACATTCCGCGGTAGAAGAGGTGAGAAACGACATGCAGTAATCAAAGAGATCAAACTGTGCGCAATAAAGCGGAAAATTGAATAGATTATAAGATAACCTTCAATGTGTGACGTGTCACTTTGTTTATCTCGGAAAATGTCCAAATCTCACTGAAATTCCTCTCATTTCACAGCTCAGGCGCCTCCAAAATGATCACAGACGTGCAATTGGCCATCTTCTCCAACGTCCTGGGCGTTTTCCTGTTCCTCCTGGTCGTAGCGTATCACTACATCAACGCGAACATGGGAGTGACGAGGTGAGTTTGCCTCCAAAGCCCTTCCGGAAGGAAACTCTCACGTATTTCCCCCCTTTGCAGATCCATTCCTCCGGCCGGGAAACACAAGTAGAACACAGGAAGGCGAATACAATTTTTCTCACTATTTTTTATTGATAAAATGTTTCTCTAGATAAGATTGGCATTCACAAACGGAATGATTCTCTAAGTTTTATTTATTGTACAAAAAATCATCCTTAAAATATCCGGGAGGAAGTCTACTGAAACCTGAAGCTCTCGCCGGAATACATATCTCACAAGTCACACGGAAAACAGCCAATTTCACTTTTAAAATGATTCCTGAAAGAGCAGAAGAAGAACACAAGAAATTCCAGAGATGAATTCTTCCATAAGTGCTCGATTTGCTCACTCAAATGTTAATACTCGCTTCCTCTCAAAGTGCGGGAAGGGAATATTTGGATCAATCTGTTGATTCCAGGTCGTAACAGCGATACGAGTAATACTATAAGGGCTTCAAGTAGGATTCCCCAGTGCTGGACTTCTCCCTGCAGGAAAACAGAGCAAATTTCTTATCTCTTATCTTAAAAGAAATGTCTTAAGTTCTTTCTTCTTCATATTGTTTCTTCTCTTTTGTGTTTCATTCTTCTAGTTTCTTAATTGTCTGAGCAGAAAGGTTAAAGTTCTCCCTGAAATCGCGGGTTCTTTTGCAATTCAATAAGAATTTGGACTTAAGAGAACTTGCTTACTTCGATTCGCGTAAATTATCAGGATTGATGGGTTCATTTTCCGGCAAATCTTGGTGCAAGTCATTAACCTTCGCGACAATGTCGCTGAAGCTGGGTCTGTCGTGAGGATTTATCTTCCAGCAGGACAACATGAGCTCGTAAAGCTGCGGTCCGCAATTTCCGGGCCTCTCCATCCGGTAGCCGGACTTCAGGAGGGTCAGCAGGCGATTCGTGGGCACGGAAGGGTAGGGATTTCCGCCAAGCGTGAGGATTTCGTACAGCAGCACGCCGTAGGACCACCTGCAAAAACAGTCTCTGAAAAACACTGAAGCGCGCCAAATTGTGGGGAAAACTCACACGTCGCTCTGACTTGTGTACACCTGGTGCGTGAGCGATTCGAGGGCGAGCCACTTAATGGGCAGCTTCCCGTTCCCCACCTTCTTGTACATGTTCTCCTGATAGACGTCCCTGCTGAGGCTGAAATGCGGAGAATTTGCCGGAAATCAATAAGAGATGCCATTCGAACACATCGCAATGCTTCACTGACCCGAAATCAGAGATTTTCACCACGTTATCCTCGCACACCAGCACATTCCGGGCAGCCAAATCGCGATGAACGACCTTATTGCATGCCAAGAATTCCTGCAATGGAAATTGGGCAAATTTCATTTTTATTGACATGCGAAATTGCTTGTCATTCGGCGTAAGTATTCTGCATGAAATTTGAACTGTAATTGTGGCAATGAAATGAATTTGGCTAATTTCGATAATCATAGCGTAAGTAAGTAAGGTAATTAATTAGAAAAAAAAATCCTTTAAACACTGACAAGAATTGGGAATTCATTCTCAATCCAGAATTTCCTAGAAAATTCTTTTTAATTAAAGTCCTTGCTTTTTGCTGCTTTTGCTCATGATGAAAATAATGTAAAAAAAATCTGAAACGTTCATTGAGAAGTGATTAAGTAATTAATCAAATCATTTGTGCTTGCAATCGATGCGAATGCACACAGCTAATTAAGGCATCCTGGCGGAGGAAGAGAATCAGGAATTCATTAGCGAGGCCAACGATAGGCTAGGATTAAGTTATTATATAAATCGCGACTGATAAGTTAATAAGTTGGCAACAACTCTAGATTTTTTTTTTAGAAATATGAACAAAAGGAATTATCTCGTTATTGAGGTTGAGAAGAGTAGACGAATGGCGCCTGAGGAATAATCAATGCTTGTGAAACTTAAAGAGCTTTTCTTGCAACCAAGTATGTCATTTATTCTCTTTGAGTCAATCCTCAAGATCTCCTCTCGATTAAATTTCTCTGTGAAAAACACCTTTGCAAATGATTAAATGCACTTTTCCCACATCAATTTGCTTTCGATTTACTTCAATTATCCAATAAAAAAACACTGAATTATTCAAAATAATTACAAAATGAGGAAATGTGGTAACTTCCCGTTGCCGTTATGGTAACACAATTGCGACAACGTCCACCCACTAAAAAATCTTCTTCCACGTTCGGAAACTAATTGGAAATGGTACAGAAAAGGGCGGAAATTGCATTTCCACATGAAAAACACAAAGTGAACTATATGCGTTTGCAGAGTTTTAATATTATTCCTCATTTTTCCTGACCAACTAGCCTATAATATAGTGGAAAATACCGATTTCGAGAGTGAAAATTAATATACAGGTTATTCTTAATGTTTTTCCATGTTACCTCTAATTACAATCTATAATTAATTTGCGAATTTCCGTTTATACATTCAACCCTTTCAACCCAAACTTCATATGAAACTTTTTAATGAATATTATTATGCCAATTTTACATCGAAATTAATTATAAAAATTTACAGTGGGAAAATGTATGATTTTCCCTTACTAACTTGCCTATGATTTTGTACAAAAAAAAATTTTCCCAGTCTTCACATTGCCTCTAATTGCAATCTAATTAATTTTGCTTGAAATTTCTTTGACTTTCAACCCGAAAACCGCATATCAAACTTGTTAATGAATACACAATTTAATGTTGAAATAAATTCCAATTAATTAGTGTGGCAAATGTGGCGTTAAGGCAACCTCGACGCTATTGCGCTTCAAATATTTCGGATATAATAAACCCATCTGCATATTCTATTTCGCAAAGCCAATAAATCCCTGATAATCGCAATTCAGCATATCGATGGACACTTACCATTCCAACGGCCACTTGACGCGCAAAGTGCAGCAAATCCCTCTTCGTGAGGCACTTGCCATCGGCGTCGTCCTGCGAGTGCCTTCGGGACGGCGACAGGAGCGTCCCGTTGGCCAGGACGCCGTTGTAGCTGCGGTTCTCCACGGCGTTGGGAATCCTGGGCGCCGTGCAATCGCAATCCGTGATCTTGATGGTGCACTTCCGCAGACTCGACGTGCTGAGGTCATTGAGATTGGCGTCCGCCTCGATGGGCTGCACGATCTCCACGAGGCAGCGACAGGCGTTCGTGCAGGACTTCTTGTCCTGTGGCGAAATCTGGTCATAGTGCTCCGTACCCTCGAGACTCTTGTAGTTTCGGAACCTCTTGTCGCCCAATGAAGTGTCGAAATTGAAGATGCTCTCCGGACACTTCTGCTTCTCCAGCGCTGGCGTCAGACTAGGGGAATTCCTCTCCTGCCGCGCCACTTCCTGGTGCATTTGTGTCAAGTGAAGCCACTCAAGTCTGCGAATATACAGACAAAATTCCATTGACGAGGAACATGAGAACTTTCGTGCCCAGTGAAGAGGAAGAGAGTTGCTCACAATCCCACTCGATACTTTTTTTCTCTCAAGTGTATCAATACTAAATACACGCGCTCTTTTCGCTAGGCAACGAAAATAGAATGATTCTTGATCAACAAATTGCGTCTTGTAACAATTGTTCAGGCATCGCAAAGGATGTTTTTCTGCTGCGCAAAGAGGAATAATGGAAAAAAGTGTTTGCTCCATGTTTTATGTTGCCACAGAAGGTGGAGAAAGAGGCGAAATTCAGGGGGGAAGATTCAATTCACTCTCGTGCTTCGAATTGCGACGAGCAACACAAACAGAAGTATGTGATCTAAATATAAAAAATGTCTTTATTTGCTAAAGAATTTAATTTAAATTCACAAATCTTTCTGCATCAAGTGCAACGTTTCGTATTTTGTAAATACACTTGTGCATAGAGCAAATAAGTCTCAAATTATGTACTTAGTTTGTTAGTAAAAGGAGGAAGAGATTGAGATATTCCTCTGCAATTCATGAAATATTCTTCAATCTTGCTTCAAACGTTATCTCTAAAAGACTAACAAAGGCACAAAATGAGAAGCTCTTTCCAAGAACTATTAATACTAAATAATTTATTTGAATTACGGGAAATAAAATGCTCCAAGTGGAAGATAATATGGCTAAAATCCGCTCCTAAATACTTTCTCATTGCGTTGTGCGCCAGTTTTGATTGAATTTTTAATAGTTTTAATGTTGGTAATGTGAAATAAGCGCTTTGCGGATCATATGAAGAATTGGAAAGGCGTTTGATGTCAATCATAAGCTGATATGATTCATATTCATTTACCTCAGATAGTTGAGGAGGTTTCCTTTGCTGCAGAACTCTGTGAGCAGCATCATTCGATGAATGTCCTTTGTGCAGTGTCCCAGGAGACCAACAATGTTCTTATGAAATCCCACAGACTTCATCACCTCAATTTCCTGTTTGAACTCCTTGATCTCCTCGGAATTCGGACTCTCTGTGTGAAGGAAGCAATGCAGGAAATAGATATCAATTCGATTCTTGGTAAGAGCATTGATTCCACTCACTCTTAAGCATCTTCACGGCGACCAGCTTTTCAGTGCCGTCATCCATTTTCACCACTCCTTTGCGCACCAGAGCAAAAGCTCCCTCTCCAAGCTCCCCAAGAATCGTCACCTGATCCATCCTGACCTCCAGCTCATCGCTGGCCAGCATCATTGAGTCCGAGTCAATTGTGTCGATGTTAATTGCGCTGCCAAACATGCTGTGCTTGATATCAAAGTTGGAATTCGGATCGATGGGCGCCTTCTGCTCGAGTTCCTGCAACAACCAGGAACAGCAATCATGACAGGGAATATCCTCGCTCTCTCTCTTCCTCACCTCAAAGTACCTCCGGCGCTTCTCGATGCGCCTCAACTTTGCCCGCCGGTGGAAGAGCACCACAAACACCACGCCAGCCACAGTTATGAAGAGAATGGGCGTTAGAGTGAGCAGCAGGATGCCGAAGATGCCCAAACTGTCCGATACGCGCAAATTCTTGTCAAAGAATTTACTGCCCTTGGCTGTGGAGAATCCTCCAGCGGACCGCGCAATAACCGTAATTCCGTACTGAACGCCCACGATGCGAATGGCGGGAAAGAATGCCCACGTGCTGTCCTGAAAATGTATTTCACGAGACCTTCAAAACTCGATTATTTCGGTATTAAATTGAAAGCTGAAACATTCCGCAGGCAAAAGGTTTATTTATTCTTCTAAATATCCCTTTAATGTCGAGTCGAAAGAGAAGGAACTTTCAAAAGTCAATCATATAACAGGAAGTGGCCGAATTAATTAAACGTAGATATGTAAATACATATATATATATATATATATATATATATATATATATATATTTATATATGTAAAGAGTTCATGTCTTAACAAACTCAAGTGATAATACGCTATAATCAATACAATATATTAATTAACACTGTCAATCACGTTGTAATATAATCAGCGCATTTAATCCCAACCTGAAGTTGTAATCGATGTCTATAATCAAGTCTACAATGTCTATACCTAAATTCTGGCACAAAGGAGTGTGTTTGACTCTGATTTAAGTGTTCATCACACTAATAATGATCTATTGAATTGAGTTGATGAGTAAATATTCACAGCGAAATGCAATCTTATTAACCTGCAATTCCTCTTGTTGGATTATTGTTTAATTAAAATGCTCTTTGATCCATAGTTTTCCGGATTTACCACTATAGAGACCATAGAGCAGAGACAGCGAAAGAGAGAGTTTTAGTGCTTTTTCGCATATCCATATTGCAATTTCGAAACTTTTGTCCTCTGTGGAAAATGCAATTAGCCGAGTTTTAAATCTTTTCTGAAAATTTCAAGTTCATTCGTTTATGTAAATTCTTGGGAATGTATCACATTTTACATGCCCTTGGCATTTATGAATTGTCATAGTATAATGAAAACTAAATTGCATAAAATTCTCTTTGTAAAATGGGATAAATGAGCATAACATCCACTCACTCCGGACACATTGAGGGATCCGCTGAGCGATGTATTGTCGAAGAGATCTGAAATGTTGACAATGTAGAAGTCTGGCGACAGGAACGGACGATCCCAGGTCACATTGATGTTGTACACGTGATTTTCCACCAATTCCTCCTGACTGCCAATATTCCTCGGCTCGGGAGGCGCTATTTTGGGGAGGATAAACAGAGAAATGTGCAACATCATTACACAGAATTCACTTAACAATTAATGCAGAGAGGAAATAATGCGGTTATCTGCACAACACTTCCCTGATGTCTAACCATTTGCCATTCAAGGACTTTAGCAGTGCATCTGAAACATTTTCCTGCACTTTCTAGACTTCTTCAACTGTGTGCACATTACACACGTTATTATAATCTTATTTTGTCTGAAGTCCACCAATAAAGCGCTATTTTAAAACCATATTTGTATTTGTTAATTCTGAATTTTATTGTCCTCAAAAAGTGGCAATTTCAGTTTTATATCAAACAGACTCAGGCATTAAAAGCATGATTAGGGTTGACTTTTCCATGTAGAAATTGCTTGCAAATGTTTAAACGCTTCTATCTCCCCCTTAAATCTGTGTAAAAGCTTTACCGCACGCTTCAGTGCTGTTGTCGAACCAATCCAGACACGTGGGCACTTTTCTGGTAATCCACTTGTGGGAGCGATCTTGAGACGAATTCTTGAGATTCAAGGCGCGAATTGACACACTCAGCTCAGAGCCGAAGCCGATGTTTGGCAGCGTGAATCTGTAGTGCGGATCTGTCTGGTTGATGTCCTTCCTTTTGATGTAGAAGACGCCCTCGTCTGAGAAATACCACATGATTTCGTAGTGGCAAATGAAGTCCTCGGTCGGCTTCCACTGCACCACGGCGTCCAGGAAGTCGTTCTGCGGCTGCAGTGTGTAAGTGTCCAAAGTGGTGGTGTTAATCTCCAAGGGTTTGTGATTCTGCTTCAGAGTGTTGAACTTGTACACCTTCCCAATGAACGCGTATTCGTGGAATTTGTTGATGACCGTGCCGGAAACATTGTAGCTCTTGTTGGGCTCCAAATTGCGAATTTCGATGATTGAGCTGTTGGACTGATTAGAGAGCAGAACACATTGTAATTAGAAGAAACATTTCACATAACTCTCCTGTTAAATCCACCTCAATTAATTGGCCTGAATGAAATTGTAGTATTACGCAAGGCTTTCAATTTACTACAGCGTGGGCACTAATTATAGGTCCACTGCAGGTATCCGGGGTGTAGGTAGTCTGGGGCAAAATCAAAAATATCAAATATGGCGTTTGATTGCCTATCCATAGCCAAAACAAAACCCCCAATATGAGGCCCCTCCGCCGGATCCTAGGGATTCTAGGGAACTTTATCACTTTCTGGGCTGGCACTAATTATAGGTCCACTTGGGAATTTTCACTATATCTCAGTGAAAAAAAATCGGAAAATTCTGAAAATCATAAGGATCCTTCATTTTGAGTCCAGAAACCATTTACCGTCGCCACACCCCGCCTCGGTCCTCCGTGGACCCCACTGTTTAAGGTCTTTGCCTAGTACTACGTGATTGCCCAATATGGGTCCTCCGCATTGGGGCGGGGGGCCCAATGGCCACAAACTCCTTCGTAGGGCTTGATTGAAGCCTCTTGAGCATAATTGGGATTTCTGGCGCCGATACCCTTTCTGAATCCTGGCCTTAAGCACTTCTTCTAGGGTCTTTTTCTGCTTCTTCGGGCCCAAACCACCCCAACCCCCGGACCACCCCCAATGAAATGGGGCGAAAAGTTCTTAGGACACTTCTAGGAAACCCGTGGACCCTAGATCCGGGGACGGGAAGTGCCTCGGAGGGAGCGCCCTAACGTGGAATGAGAGCCAGTTGAAATTCAATGAAAAACCATACAATTTTAGGTGGTTTTCGACTGGGTCTCATTCCACGGTGTGGCGCCCCCTCCGAGGCGCTACCCATCCCCGGATCTAGGGTCCACGGGTTTCCTAGAAGTGTCCTAAGAACTTTTCGCCCCATTTCATTGGGGGTGGTCCGGGGGTTGGGGTGGTTTGGGCTCTTAGAAGCAGAAAAAGACCCTGGAAGAAGTGCTTAAGGCCAGGATTCAGAAAGGGTATCGGGGTCAGATAGCCCAATTATGCTCAAGAGGCTTCAATCAAGCCCTATGAAGGAGTTTGTGGCCATTGGGCCCCCCGCCCCAATGCGGAGGAGCCATATTGGGTGATCATGTTATGCCAGGCAAAGACCTTTAACAGTGGGGTCCAAGGAGGACCGGGGCGGGGTGCGGCGACGGTAAATGGTTTCTGGGCTCAAAATGAAGGATCCTTATGATTTTCAGAATTTTCCGATTTTTTTTCGTTGAGATATAGTGAAAATTCCCAAGTGGACCTATAATTAGTGCCAGCCCAGAAAGTGATAAAGTTCCCTAGAATCCCTAGGATCCGGCGGAGGGGCCTCATATTGGGGGTTTTGTTTTGGCTATGGATAGGCAATCAAACGCCATATTTGATATTTTTGATTTTGCCCCAGACTACCTACACCCCGGATACCTGCAGTGGACCTATAATTAGTGCCCACGCTGTATAGAGCACATTCATTAGGAATTCTATGAATGTACACACGTGATTAATAAAGTAGTATTCAATGCATTCAACTGGAAATCAATAAAATTGAAAACCCTTCGTGTAAAAAAGCGAAGCGGTTAACAAAAACACAAGGTATTTTCCTAATCTTCTTCACAAGAATTCAACAGATTAATTAAGGATTAAAACGCGGTAACGCGCAGTGAATAAACTTGCCCAATTTGGCAAGTTAATGAAGTGGATGGTAAAGAGAACAGACAAGGGAATTTATGCGGAAAATTCCTATCTAACTCAACCCATTTTGCACCATAAATCAATTTTCTGACACTCAATATCCTTATATTATCATCCCTAATTCATGCACAAGTAAATTCACTCAATCATTACTGTGTTGCGGCGTAAGATGATAAAAAAATGTATTTTAAAGTAAATAATATGAAGAAACGGGGTAGAATCTGTGCTTTTCACCAAGAAACTGAAAAGGAATAATGTGTTTTAAAAAGTTGTTGGCATTCGAAGCAGAACTTAAAGAAGCCGAATATCTGAAATTGTTATTTTCCCAGACAGTATTTTCCTCAGTATTTAAATGAGGCAAAAGTGTATTAAAATTATGTATTTATTTTGTTGAAATGTGAATGGAAAATTTCTTGGAAATTTTTAATGAAAAAAATGTTATGGCAAAACGCACAGAGCTACATGAAAGAAATATCACTTGTACGATTTTGAAGGAAAGCATTTTATCTATGTAAGACATAATGTAGAGATTAAAATGTTACCAAACATCATCAATCTCACGCATATTTCACACTTACCAAGTACACTGTCCTCTCATTGTACGACAGATCGCTGGCCTCTTTGATTTTCACGAGGTAGAGGCAAGAGTCGCAAGGGCGAAACCTTGACCTCCGCGCTGAATTTCCAAGTGTTTTCCTCGCCGTGCCATTAGAAGAGGTCGACCAGAAGTCCATGCCACGCGCCCGGCGATTAGAATCGGCCGTCTGGACTGCTTCCTCTTCCTCTGCGGATTCACTGACCACCTCCAGGGTTAGGCTGGTGTCGTCGCGACAGAGCAGCCGCACGCCGAATGTGTCACTGGCATTTATCGGCCGGCCGCCGCCCGTGTCGCCGCCGGAGCCGCACTTCTTGTAGCACAGCGACAGATTCTGCAAAGGATATCTGCTGAAGCGCCTTTTTCCCAATGTTTATAATTGAAAAACTGCCTACATAAGCTAATAATAGCTCTTCCACAAGATGGTTTTCTCTTCTACGAGAAGGAATTTTATCAATTAACTTCCCAATTAAGCTGTATAAGCGAAAAGTTAAAGGAATTTTGTATACCTTTCTTGCCACAGAAACCCAAATTGTGCCTCTGAGATTGAATGGGAGAGATTTACCTTGTAAAAGTAAATATAAGATATGTGCCTTAACCCATTAGCAACGATTGGGTCGTGTAAGTCCATTGAAGTATAATATTTTTTGTTATAATTCATATTTATTACATTATTAATTATAATCTTTATTATTATTTCCTTAGAATCCACTTGAATTACTTTAACTGCAAGGAATAGTAAGTTAATTGCGCAAAAAGGACACACACTTTTCTCTGCAAAATGTTCAATATTGCCTGGGATTTTTCCTGAAAACATGATCTCAAAAAGTTCCGGTGCAAGTTCTAATAATAAATTAATTCAAATAAAAAAATTGCTTCCGATTTTCTCCTCAGAAATTCTTGTGCCATGAAAGGGTTGTATTTTGAAGGGTCTCATTGTGGAAGTTGTTGAGTCTCGTGTTAATTGTTTGTTCATGTAAAACAAGAAGAAGTTCTGTGATATTGTAATAAATAGTTTAGTAATTGTTGTTGATGAAATGAAGAGGAATGTGATATTGTGCATTAAATAGCAGAGAAGTAATTCAGATGCATTTCAAAGAGCTGCTTTAACTCAAAGACTTGGAAATCAACATTCCAAAACAGAAACTATCGAGTCTCTATTTATCTTTCTGAAAATTTAACCACTAAACAATAATAAGGGGAACAAATAGAAATGATTAAATATCATTTTATTTGCTGGACTTTAGCAGCTTCAAAGAATTGAGTTTAGATGGTCAACGCTATTTTCCAGGGTTGAAACGTGATCACGAACGCAATGGATATTCTAATAGCATAATTTCTGAAATGAATTTGCACTCACAGGGTTTTCTCTTCAAATAAGCGCCACTCAAAGACAGAAATACATTAAACTGACGCAAGGATTTATGAAATGTTACATTTACACAAGCTGCACTCGGTGTAATGAAAATTGAGGAAATCATGAGAGCGGAAATTAAAATACAAAGGATTGTTGGTTGATAGGAAGAGGAATTATATTTTGCTGGAGGAAATTAATTAATTAATTAACCAAAAATTAAATTCGCAAAGGATAACAGCAAGCTTAAGTGATACATTTAATCTCTACATTCGAAATCATTTCAAAACGAAGTACCTTTTGTATAAAATTATGTTTAAATGTCTGTTATAAAAAGGAATTTCATACAATATTCAGCAAGTGAATATGAAAAGTAAAGAGATTTAGAAAAATTTGTTGAATTGGTTCTTCAATAACTTACACGTGCCAAAAACAAACATTCATTATAAAATTTCTAACAAATATACTTTAGTGAACAAACTTTACCTAGAAAATACTCAATTGAAATTAATTTCTCGTTGAATTTAAATGTATATTTGATTAAATGATACATTTTTGTATGCATTTCAAAACTATCCACTCAACGTATGCATGAATATCAATTCAGCAAATACAAGAGAAATGAATACAAAATTCAATTACTACAAAATCTCTTTCACATGAAATATTTTCGATGAAGCAGAAATATTAGATGTATGAATATGATACGAATAGATTTTTCACTCAATTATTCCGTCCTTCATTGAGGACAATAAACTCTGGGCGCCCGGAGGGAAAATCTCTGTTTGCCTGGGAGCTCAGATTGGTTTTGATGACAAACAAGCAGAAGAACAGCACCGCGAATCGTTTGTCTGCGCGCTGGGCAGAGAAGTACCGCTGAAACGTGACTTGAGGCACAGACAGCTTTTGCTCGCGGAGCTTTAGAGGATGCTGAGTGGCAGATTGCTGTGTAGTATTTGAATTTCGTGCTTGTGAAAGAATTACCTAAAAACTGAGTGCAAATCGCAGACGTTCTGCGAATCTTTGGCATCACAGGTGAGAAATGTGCGAGAAGAAAGGCGCTGAATTTCCACGAATGTGTCACCAAGTGTTGGACAGAAGGTGAAAAATATCGTCACACAGGGGGAAATATGTTTATTGGTGGAATTACCATTTTGGCTCAATGATATTGGTCTCTCGCGTATTGCGAGTTTTGTTGTTTCTCCCCATATCCATGTCTCTCTTGCTAATCGCCTTGGATTATTCTGGTGTGGAAATTGATTTCCAATTTAAATTTCACCCAACACTCGACAGTGCCAGGGAATAATTTAATTTTCTTATATCAACGGAATACCTACTAAAATTCAACCTCTATTTCTTTTTTTGTCGTTTTCCGTCCAACAACAGAAAGACTCACACCACCCAACTGTCACGAAGGAGGAAATATCCGTTGCAGAAGCCGCAGTGTTTGCCAATCCTGAAGCACTTGTTGCTGCGTTTAGGCACTCTTTAAGGCTCCTTTAAAGTTGACATATTTTTCTGCGAAAATCCTTGTACAATTTCAAACGAAAAAACATTGAGAAATAGACAAAAAGGCGGAGCTTTTGAAACGGCGGAGCTTATTAATCATCTTAACAACTTTGGCACATCTTCGTAATCGACAAATAAATTGCCTTTCATTTGATATTAATCAGCTTTTCACTCGATGAAAGTTGGAAATTTGAATTCTGAGATTTGTTTTTCAGAGTAAAAGTTCAATTTCTGAGCCGATATTTCTTCAATGTTGGATTTAATTTCTTTCTCTTGAGAACCAATGAAAGAGCTCTAGATTCTGAGAGCAAATCGCTTCATAACAGAATATATTCTTATGCAGTTTTTAAGCTCGAGTCGCTAATTAACTACATATTGTATCTCTAACACAAATCATAATCTTTGGTTAATCGGCGTTCTCATTTTCAAGTTGTTTGCCATTGTTTCAATTTGCATTGAATGTATTGTTTTGGGACTCTTAAGCGGATGGCGGAGCTTAAGAGGGATTTCACAGTCTATTCTCGTGAAACAAGTAGTCTCAACACGTGTTCAAATAATCCTCTTTTACCATCTCTCGAGGTACATAACGTTTTAAAGTATTTACATTATTCCACGACATCAAAGCGCGAAAGCACAATCGAGCGCAAATTGCCGCGGGCGAAAGCTATAAAAGGCGCTTTGCTTACCTTCGTCGGGTCGTCGTCCAGGCACTTGGCCGTGCACGACACGGCGGAGTAGAGCTTCCGGTCCTCGCTGGCGTTCTGCAGCAGCAGCTGATCGCAGTTGATGTTGTTGGTCACGAAGACGGTGAGGCAGAAGATCTGGATGTACTTCACCACGACGATTTGCATGGCGAGCGTGCGATTCAGTCAAATCTGTCCACGAACAGCGCTCAGCCGCCCATCTGTTGCTTCTAGACTGGCGGCAGGCGAAGAAAGAGGGGCAAATTAATGTGATAAATTGGCCTCAACTCCGCAGGCACGCACAAATCCAATGAAATTGATGAATATTGAAAGAGACACATTCCTTTCACTGGAAAAACCCAGGAAAATCCCTGCTCTGTGCCTATTTTTACCGCAGCGTCTCGAAAGTTCACCCAAAATTGCGGTGACAGAAAATATTTGATCCTTCAGAGACTTATGCAGACTTCAGATGGATTCCCAATCAAAATTCGCCCACCGCATTTTCTCTACCTCGCCAAGATTGCGCGTAAAATCTCTAGCTAAGAAAATTGGTGTGCTCAGGAAGCGACGAAATATTGATTTCTCATTTGTTCCTTCCTGTCTAGCCTGTCTTTCAAAGGTATTAATTAAGTGGGTTTCTCTGTCACTTCGATGAATGATCAAAAACAAGAATTAGGAACAGCGTTTCAATCAGCAAAACAGTGTGACATTTTCAATAGAATCTCTAAAATAAACTTTATTCTTTTTAATTGAAGTTTGCATAAGTATAAAAAACTTTTTTCCAGAGAATTTGTTTATAATTACATTTTCCAACATTCTATTTCCATCAATATAATGTTTTTCTCTGATGTACTGAAAATTTGATTGGGTTTCATATCGAAACATCACGGATTTAATATATTTTACGGATAAAAACGTGCACACGAAATGCATATAAATCACGTAGTGATTTAATAATAATTCTCTGAAGATAACTGAAAAGTGTTGACCGACAAAAAATCCCTAAAAGTGAAGTAAATTTATGTTAAATGACATAAAATTGAAAATTTCCATTTTAAATTGACTGAAAAATCAATAGTGGGAGATTTTATAGTGTTTTTCAAAGCATTGAAGTGATAAAATTTGTAAATTATTGTAAAACATGGCAAAATATTTTTATTAACGCGTGAATAATATTTTGTTGGCATGTTTTCCAAATATTTCATTGAATAATTTATGTTAAATTATTACAGCCGTTTTTATGAAATATATCTTTTCATACTTATCAAAAAAAACCGAGCATTCATTGAACGCTTTATTATTAAAATTGAATTATGCACAGAAATGGAATGAATTGAATATCTGCTTTAGGCACGACATTTTTGGAGCATCCCATCGGAAATCAACTGTTGAATTTTCATGCTTTTCACCAGCAGATGAGCACAAAACTTGTGGTTTGTTTGCGGAAGAACACACATACATCAAGGGGTGTTGTTCCACCCATTCAAATACATATTTCCGATTTGCTATTTTAGTGACAGACTCTGAAGGGATTGTTTGTGGATCAACAACAGAAATCGTGCACATAAAAGGTGTGCCAATCAATGGAAACTTCTTTTCTTCTACACTTTCCCTTTCTTTGCCCCGCTTTCTTTATTTTCACCACATTGCTTTAGAACATGCAGGTGTGTAAATTTATAATTTCAATTAAAATCATAAAAGGATTCAATTTATAAGCTAAATTCGCTCCACTTCACTTCCAATCAATTCAATTACTGCAATTCTAATACACTTATATTCTAGACGATGGAATTTCTCCACTTGGTACAAGTTCAGAAATTGAATTCTCGGACAAAAATGGAAGGAGAAGAGGCTCGATCTTTGCTCTTGAAAAGTAATTTCACGAGTACTTAATTCAGATCATTTTCTAATATGGAGATCAAAAGAATATCTGAATTCTTTCAGATTAAGCATTCCAACTCCTGAAAAAGGCATTTTTTACGTATTCTTTAGCTTTTCTCTCAGTCGGAAAAATAAACCACGCATAATGAGGATTTTTTCTCTTATTTACTTACCAGATATTAATGTTCTCCTTGGAAACTTCTTGGCTTGATGTGTGCCTCGAAAGGTTTCCTCTCTTCAATTCTCCTTTTTCGAGTCCCAACAAAAAAGTCCCTTTCTTCGAGTCTTCTTCCTTGCGATGCTTGTGTTTTCTCACTTGAATGAGGTCTTTAAGGACTTGTTGGAAATTTGTGTCTGATTCTTCCTCCTCAGCGCACACTTTCGCAACACACTTCAACAGGCTTTGGCACTGTGCAAAATTTTTCAGTTTCCTCCTTCCGTTTTCTCTTGAAATACGCCAAGTCACTTCACTGAAAGTCGCACAATCTTCGTGTGTAATTGTAGTTAAACAGATAATTGGGTAAGTTTGCAGAATTTATGTACTTTTACTAAAGAACTCACTAAACACTCTTCTATCACAACCACACGAGAGTAATCCTGAATCTTCTGTGCTCTTCACCCTCTCAAGACGCGCACTTGACACTCTAAACCAGCACGCACAGAGGTCGGATTTCAACTGGTGACCGATTAAACTGCTGCCGCTCGACTGAGTGAAGGCAGAGCTTAAAGCTCAGCCTTTTTCTCGCTCTCGCTCAGTCACTTCTCCAACACTTGTGACGCTTCTTCCTCAACCTACACCAACAATTCGCCGCACAACAGGTCTCAACGGAGGGACGAAAGCGCTCACACGACGCATGATCGGCAAATGGCAATGAATGAAAGCTGGAGCGATGCTGTGATGCAAATTGCAGGGAAACTAGCAAAGCTTAGCGTGTGCTTGTCGAACATTGGCGCAAGAGAGCTTAATGCCACAGCAACTCTTAATGTCATCAAGCTTAGGAGATTAAAAAATCAGTGAATGATTGAACAAATTTACATAGACAAAAGGAGATTTCCATTTGAAAATATTTGAATCCCGGGGATTTAGTTTTATTCTCAAGTGGGACGTGAAATTGTTCGCTTGGTTCTGATATTCTGCACGCCATAGAGAGAAAATTCTTTAACAAAATTCGGAAAATACATACCAAAAATCACGGTTCTCTTTATATTAGCAGACTTACCTTATTAAGAGCTTTCTTTTGACGGTTTTCGATGTTCTTTGATTGACTTCTTCTAATTATATCTCTCACAGTTTCTAATTTTTAACCAACTTTTCATTTTATTCACTCAAGTCTCAGCGAACACTTTTCCACGCGAAATTAGTTTATTGACTTTACGCATTGCGTGAACCCATTATTATGTTTAGAGTGTTAAAAGAAACGTGTGAAAATTCACTAGAGCGATAAATTTCAAAATTATGTACGAATCAAATGTACAAAAATGAATACGATTTCCAGTCTGCTATTCGTAATTCTGCCTCATTCAACTCTCAACATCTCAAAAGGACTAACCGCATTTAGTTTTCAACCCCCATAGAAGCTTTAATAGTGCTCTTAATAGACAAAACATTAGCAGATGAACTAATTTTCAATTCTCTCTGCAAATTGCGTGTTGTTAGAATAGATAATAACAATGGGAAACCATTCAATTATCACGTTTGCTTTTCGTTTCAGCATTTTGGTCTGCAGAAGACCACAGAAGAATTCTTGTATGAATGAAGAAGCACTTTCAATTAGGGTTATTGAAAAGGAAGTACAAAATGCAGCGCATTCAGTATTTCTATCAAAGCGAACAGAAAAGAAATATCATCACTGTGTCCTCTTCAGAAAAGACGGCACCAAAGAAAGTCTCTCAATTCAATTTATAGTGTGTTTTATTCTTATTAGCAAAATGAATGTTTTTTTTTTCTCTGCAAAAATTCTAGTCTTGATTGTGACTTTTCAGCTAATTTACTGAAAAGTCAAATCAAGAATAAAATTCTCAATTCACTCTTTCATCTAATACTTGAATTTTTTCTTTTTATCTCTTCTGTAAATCATTTAGCAAATTTTACATGCTAATCATCTCACACTTAACATGTGTATGAAAAAATAATTAGAAAGTTATTGATAAATTTGTTTGTTTCTTTGATAGTTTCATGTCCTAAATCAACTCTCTTTTTTTCCTCTCCATATGATCAACAGTGGAAGAGCGGAAAACTGTCACATTTCCACCTCTTCCTCCTGATCATGAAGACTTCTTCTTTTTTTGGGGTGTTATTTTCTTCACTTTCTCTCCCGTTTTTTCTTGTATAAAATATCTATGCAAGTATATCACATAATTTTACATAATTGGTATTGCGGTGGAATACCAAACATACACACACTGTCTGTGCAAAAAACTACTTAAGATTTCATACATATTTCCGTCACTCCTTGTATACTCGCTACTCAACAGAATTCCTGGCTAGAGGATCATCGCGATCGATGGGCGGCGGTGAAGTAAGTACTTCAACATTCTTGCTCGGACCCTGCGTCAGGTATCCAGCCGTTGAATTTACTCCTATATCGAGAAGTCCATTGAAATAAAACCGCAAAATTAAGAGAAAATAAGACTCACCCGTCAAATATCCGCGAATGTTGGTGTCTGTGATGAAGAGATCGTGCTTCTGATCCCTGAACTCCGCCCAAATGGGACTCGCGTTGAGAATCTCATTCACGCGATCGCCATAGTTGAGATTATTGGTCATGGCTTTCAACGCCGCCACAATCTGCGCCTTCACCATCGCCGGATTGTCGCCCAACTCGAGGCGTGTGGTGAGAAGATTCAACAGATACGGAATCAATTTGCACTCCAGCGATTGCCTGATGAGCGAATCGTGCTGACACTTGAACATTCGACTCAGCGTCTCGCACGTCGTCGCCGTGAGTTCCCTGTTATTCTCCATGCACTTCTTCAGCGATTCAATGCACTCCGTCTGTGCAATGGCAGCCACGCAGATCTGAAAGGGCATAAATGGATGCGAATGCACATAAACACATGTCACATTCACACAAGCTTTGCCGCCAGTTCTCATTATCACAGAGGGTGAATCGCTATGACATTCAGAGTCCACTTAAGCGTTGGAATCAAGAGTAAAAATCCCCAACACCTCATCAAAGGTTACATTGATATTCTGTGTGAAATTACATCATTTTCCAACGAACAGAGACAACTTAACAAACTCTATTGAAGAAAGTTAATGTTTAAATTGGCAAGTTCTTCACTTATTTTTAGAGTTGATTGCCAATAAAATTCACCGAGAAACACGTTTACCACTTATGTGCTATCATTACTAGATATTAAATTTCCTCTTCTCATTTCCGATGCATTTCTGTGGAAGAACTTTTGCAAAACTCCCTCAGTAACTCCCACACAAGCCACCCAATTGCAACCAATTTCAAACAGATAAATTGCTTGGGATGCACAGAGTTTCCTATCGCAAGGAAGACTGTCAAGCGCCACGGAAATTCATTCATAAAAATAGAATTGCAAAGTCAAAAGTATAACTATTGCATGAGATGCTCTCAGGAATCCATGAAATATCGCATCATAATCAAAGAGGAGAAAAAGCAGGAAATATACTCACATCGGAAAGTGATAATTGATGCAGAACAGTTAAAGCACTCTTCGGTTGAACTGACAATTGACGAAAGAATTTGGGAATGTGGCCGAGAACGGGAATGGCATCGGCCAGGTTTGGTTGAGCATTCAGGAGGGAGACAAGAGCCGTTGTCGACACGTCCAGCACATCTTTCTGCTTCTGCAAGACACGAGAGAAAAATAACACATGACACTGACACACGCTTAATTGATATTAATCACCTCGCCGCCACTCTTGCTGATGTTCTCCACCACAAAGTCCAGCAAGTCGGAGAGGAATTGCTTGGGTTTGCGCAGCGTCCATCCCGGATTGGCCACGAACAGCCGCAAATAGACACCAGAGACGACCAATTCGCTCGTCACGATGTCCTGCAGGATCTCCGGATCCTTCCACAGAAGCTTCGGATTGTCTTTCTGCTGCACATAGAAGCTATTCGCCATGTCCGTCACGGCATCACTGACCCTCTCGCGCGTCTTGTCATTCCATATCAACTCGGGATGTTCGTGCGTTGATTCGTACATTTGCACAGAAATCGGTGGCGAGTCAATCATGGCATCCAGGAAAACAGCCGGCAAGAATTTGCACACGGAAATCCTCACTTTCGGTCCACTCAATTTATCCGCTGTGAGCTTGGAGAGAATCTCAGCGCTCGCTTCGCGGATGTTCGGATGGCGAGAGTTGCAGAAGAGATCAAGCAAGTAGATCACGCTGCCCTTCATCTGCGCCTCCTTCACCATTTGCTGCACATTTATCAGGCCACTCAGCGTCTCCAGCACTCTCACCTGCACCTCCGCCAAATCCCTGTCCTTCAGAGCCACCAGGAATTGTCCCAGAATCTCACAAGCGGCAATATCGCTAACACACTCCTTGTTTCTCGACACCAGCGACACAATCTCCAACGCCAGCGGCTTGATAACACCATCGCGATCGCAGAGATTGCGCGACAAGAAGCCAAAGAGCATCTCAAAGTGTCCAATGCACTGAATCTCCACATTGGGATTGCTCTTGATCACTGCAATCAGTGCCTTCAGCACCATCACAATGTGCTCAATCGCATTAGGATCCGCCGCAAAGTCATACTTCGCCGTCTGTTGTTGTTCTTCGGCCAGCGAATTCTTCGTCCGCGACTTTGCATACTCCGACAGCACGCCGTCAATCTCCGGCATCTTCTTCTGGCCCACCCTCATCGGCCGCAGCGGCACAGTGGAGGTCATCAGCTGGGCTGGCGTCAGAGGCTGTCGCGAGCGCTGGCCGAGCAGAAAATTGTAGCCTTGCTTCAGGAACTCCAGCAAATCAATCACAAAAGTTTTGGGATTGATGATGGGAAATGTTGGCATATCGATGTAGATTCTAATGAAGATTCCTCCAATAACAAGCTCGTCTCTGTTGAAGAGCAAAAAATATGTTTTTTCAATATTCATTCATTATGCAGTTGAATATTCTCATCAATTCCGCTTCTGATTGACTAATTTCACTTCCCTTCCACTTAAATCAACAGTGAAGAACTGTATTATTTTAAGGGAGAGATTGATGTTTCAGCATGTCATTTGGACTTTAAATTGCTGGACTAGAATACGATAAAGATTGATTTTTCTTAGTAAGATTATCCAAAGAAATTCAAAGCATAGATATAAATATTGGAATATTGTGAATGTTTCAGCACTTCGCCCCTTTGAATATTTCTTACGCAAATAGTATACTAAATATGTCTATTATTCGAGGTATTTCTGAGACTCTCCGGGTTGATAACTTCAACCCCATCATTTAACATTAAACAACCGTATCAAGAATCAATCCAGCCATTCAATGCATTCACTGCCAAAGTTTGAAATCCGAGAGGAAACCCCAGACCAGGTGAAACAATCTCCTAATTGAGCCTTTCCTCTGACAACTCTAATTAATATAAATGGCTTCTACTCACTTGTGAGCATCAAAGGTGAATCCCTCGACAATGGCATAGATATCCGTAACATCGTCATATTGTTCTTTGGAGCTCGTTGTTCTCTGATACTCGAGGAAATCAATCAATTGCGCCCGAGTGCCATTGTCCCAAATCAGGTAGGGATTCCTCGTGTTTGACGTCAGCATCTTCAGCACATCCGCAGCCGGATCACTGGAGAACTTATTAGCCACGAACGGCGTCACGAGTCTATCGAGTATCTTCTTCACCACCACATTCTCCGGCGACCCATTTATCGCATATTTCTGCTGTTCCTCCTTCGCCGTCTCGACCTTCTTCTCCTCCTCCGGCAGCGCCTCCTCGGCCACCGCCTCCTCGCCCTCCACGTACGACTTGAAGTTGCCCTTCTTTTCACTCTGCACGAGATTCCTCGCCTGGGTGTTGTACGTGTTGCGCAGAGCGAGATTCGTGCCACCCTGGTAATTCGAGTTCGCCTGACTCGCCGCTGAAGTCTTTGGCTGAACCGGAGGCGGAGAAGATGTAGACAGTTTGGGCTTCGCCAGATTCGTCATCTCGTAGCCAGCTAGCGAAGCACACGCCAGAATTGACATCTTCGCCAGATTATTCGCCACTTTCTGGTTGTTCGACTTCTCATCCGTAGCCACGCCGCTCTCGTCCAGCGTGTAATCATAGTCGAACATGAAGAGCAACAGTGACCACATCACGCCATTCTTCACCAGTTGCGATTGCAGATCGAGATTATTCGCCGCCAGACTCGTCACCAAGCCCACAGACAAGGTGTGCTTGAAGTACACCACTCTGCACACGTCCACGACCAGTTGCGGCAGTTCCAGGATCTTCTTCTTGCAGTTCTCAAAGTTGCACGCCACCTCGAAGCACATCGTGATGTTCGATATGACCTGATAGTGCAGCGACTCCGGCTTCGAATCCGCACCCATGATGGACACGCACCGCGAGTAGGCTTCCAGCAGCGCTTCGATGCCCTCCTCTCGCCTCAGCTCTTCAGCATTCAGCGCCGAGCAGTGGACTGTGTGATAGCACAGCTCAGCGGCCGCACTGAGCAGCGGCACAGATTTGGAGAAGAGCTGCTCGTCCTTCGTCTCCAGCCTGATCGTCTTGATGAGCTGCGGATAGCCGGCGTACTTGTACGGCCGCAATTCCTCGGCGTATCGGTCGAAGAGAATCGATTGCGTGCGAAGAATCAGGACAATATTGCTGGGACTCGGTCCGTCCGTCATTGCAGTTCGCGCGCACAGGAACTCATAAGCTTGATTCACTCTCACGAAGATATCACGTCCTTTCGGGTTCTTGTCCGGATGATACAGCTGTGCCAGTCGATAGTAACTCTTCCGAATCTGCAAGTGTAAATTGAATGGGAACTTTAAGAGGATTGCAAACCACAATTCCAAAGTTGATAATTATGTTTCATGACTGACAATCAACTTGTAAGCACAAAATTGAGAGAACTCTAAGACGATTATAAATAGATTAATCGCCTTAGTTTGCATCAAACTCAGCAAATGAATTTTTAACTATCGAATTAAATCATTTGCTCTAATTATAAAGTTTTCACTCACCTGCGATTCCTCCGGATTAGGCGTCTTCGTGAGGTCAATTCCCAGATCTTCGTACGCTTGCTGAACCGTCATTTGTGGCGGTTTCTTCTCCACTTCATTGCGCCAGGCAATCAATGTGTGCTTCAGCAGCTGCACAGGATCCGGAATCGGCCAATTGGGGAACTTGATAGTGTCACACAGATGCCTCAGGTAGAAGATGTGGCAGAAGAGCTCATTCTCCAGCTGTGGATAGCTGATTATCGGTATCGCCAGATAAGGATATCTCGCCATTGTGTGTCCTTTCAGCCGCGGCGTGAAGTCTGCAATGTGTGCGGAGATCTTCTCAATCAAGAGTCGCCTCATCTCCGAATTCCAGATGGCTTCCGGCGTGTCAAACTCCCCAAGGAAGATCTCAGCGAACTTCTCCGCACTGTGATTCTCCAGGAAGCACACCATCGCCTCAGGCAGCAGTTGGCCCAGGATGCTGCGATGCATGATGCCAGACTGGGAAGTTTCCTCGCCGCGGAACGCCTGTCTCATGTGTGTCATCTTGAGGAATCTCGCGATCGGGAGGATGTTGCTGCCCGTGTACATCAGCATGAAGTAAAACACGCCCGTGAGATAAACCTTCGGCATCTCCGGATTGTCCTCCATGATCTGACAGAGAAGTGTGGCGACTCTCTCAAGCAATCCCGGATCGTGTGTCAGGCAAACTTGGACAATATGCGGCAAACAGATGAATTCCGACAGTTTCCTGGACAGTTTTGGTCCAGGAATCAGAACAGCAGCACCATCACGAGCGCGACTCGGGAAGAAACTCGTGCACTTGATCAAAATGTCCAGAACAAGCGAGGCCAGCTCAGTTTCGTTGTACAGCGCCGTTCCCTTGGCCATCAGACACCACTTCAGCTGTGGAATCTGCTGCAGAGACCGCCATCCGTCCATGCCAATGGCCCAGCATCGCGTGCGCGGATTGAGTGCGCCCTTCTTCCACAACTCCTTCAGGTCGCTGAACGTCACGGGTCCGCATCTCTCGGGCTTCTCGCCCTCCTTCTCCACATTGTAGTACCAATCCTTCTCCTCGTAGCACGTCATGTTCGGTCCCGCCTCGATGACGTTAGTCTTGGTGTTGGGCAGCGCCCGGCCGCGATGCAAATGCGCCAGCGTGATCAAATCCACCAGACAGTTCACGTGATCCGTGAGCGGTCGACAGTTCGCCTTGTTCAGCACGAGATTACGCACTAGATTGAGCAGAGCGTCTCTCAGCGCCGGCGACAAGCATCTGTCCAGCATCTGGAGAATGTAGGGCATGTCGCTGAAGAAGCCAATCTCCTCGTGATACCGCCTGTACACTTTGGCCAGCGCCTGGAGCGACGTCACCGTCAGCTGGTCGTCATTCACGCGGTTCCGACACAAAACTCTCCTGTACAGCGCATTGAACAGCTCCACAGGATCCGTGACGAGATTCTGCGGCCAATCGTCCCTCTCCAGAATCAATCGTATGTAGTAATCCCCAATCTTAATCTCATCCGCCAAGCACTGATACTGCACCTCGAACTCCTCGTAATTCCACGCCACCAGCAAACTCCCTGACAGATCCTTATCATTGGAGAACTGCCTCAACTCATTCTCCAGCGCCGCTCGCAACTCCTCGCGCGTCTTGTGATTCCAGATCAAGTTGGGCATCGTGTGATTCTGCTGGAACTGGAAGAAGAACAGCGGCAGATTCATCACACTCTCAGTCGCCTTCTTCTTCTGTCGCCTGTTGCGCAGCACAATTGGCCTGTTCTTCATCGCTTGCTTCACCTTCTCCTGGCGATCGATCAGATTAAGGCCCCAGTGCTTGATTCCCTCCAGATGCTTCTCAATCACACTCCGCGCGCCCTTGTTGGAGTGCTGAATCGCCAACTTCAGGTTGTCCCTGAAGTTCAACTTGTCCTCCTCAACGTCCGTCTTCGGCACCTCATCTTCACTCTCCAGGAACATCAGCAATCCCGCTGGGAAGATTCTCTGCAGCAGCTGCATGGCGTCGTCATTGTCCGTGATCCAGAGTCCCACTAAGTGCCGCGAGAGCTGTCGATGCGTGGCCATCGTGGTGTCATTGCTGGACGTGTACAGCGCTATCAGGAGATGTCGACAGAGCGCCGCTTCGTCCAGGGCGAGAGTCTGCATTTGGTTGGCCACTTGCGGGCCTCCCTCTTCAATCAGCGACCGCAGCACCAATCCAGCGCCCTTCACAATGGCCAAGGAGGGATGCTGGAAGAGCCTGAAGAGAGATCTTCCGCGCGACGCCACCATTTCCAACAGAATGTCAAACTGCTTCCCGTCTGTAGTCTCGCTGTATGGCACACACAGGGCGAATGTGAGGAAGTCCAGCATTGCCGACAGCACCAGAGCTCCGCTGCCAAGATTCGCGTGTCCTGTCCACATTTCTAGCAAGCTCTCGAGGAAGCTCTTCGACGACAGCAGCGAGAACTTGTTCAGCTGCTCCTGCTTCAGGTCAAAGTCCGCATTCATGGAGTGCATCAGGGAATTGATCATATCAATGGCAGCATAAGTCACGGCCAGATCATTTCGCCTCAGCGACGACACAACTCTCACGCCGATCGCCTCACGGAATCCCGGCAAGTTTGTAAACGAGGCGAATCCCACTTTGCTGGCCAGCAGACGCCGCATGGCGTGAAAAGTCGCCTCCACTTCCAAGTTCGTCATTTGCGCCGCTCCATCAACTTCTTTCTGACTCAGCGCCTGAAGCGCCTGCACAATCAGGCGCTCCTTGTTCTCGGCAAACAAACTGTCCTGCGTCACGCTGTAATTCAGCCCGGAATAGGGAATGTTGGCATTGAATCTCTCCAGAATCTCCATGCGTTTCGCCGAGTTCTGAATATTATTGATCACGAATCGCATAAGATGACTCTCCGTCTCCTCATCCACCGGACAATTCAGCGGTCCCACGCGCTTTCCTCGCGGCGTCTTCGAGATCCTCACGTGAACATCCTGATTCCCACACGACCGCACCGCATCCAGAAGCGTCGCAAGCAACGAATCCCTGTCGTTCGTCAGATACGTTCGCACGAGACCGTTTCTGTACTCAATGCAGAACATCTGGATGTTCTCACGATCGCGCACCAGCGCAAAGATCTCCGTGAGCGGTCTCAGCGTGCAGATCGTGTACGTTTGCGGGTCCCTCTCGAGAATCGTCGTCTCCGTGAGGCACAGCGTGCGTCTCGTCTGCTCAGAGTGTCGCGGCGTGATCTTCTGCACGAGGAACTCCGACATGGACGTCTGACAGTGATCAGCAGAGTACGTCCCGAAGCGCTCTCGCTCGAATCTCTCCATCGTGATTTGACTCTTGAGCACTTTAATGTCAAAGGCGAGGAACTGCGATGAGCACTGCACGATGTTCTGCACGATTTCATGATGATTCAGCGCCTTGAACAGATGCAGACGACTGAAACCGCCGCACGCCACGACAATGCCACCATCGTAGTCCTGGATGCCTGCAAAGGATCATTAGGAAGTCACTAAGAAGCTCATCAATACGCTCTACTTGACTATTTATAGGCACAAAGCGCACAAACAGACTATCAAAAGTTGCCTAATCAGTAGTTATTGATATGAAAAGCAACTACATTGCACTCAAAACGCCTCTTTTCCGAGTTTATTGCTCCCTTTCGTCTCTGAGCCAAACGCTTGTTTTGTAAACAACGCGAAGAAGTATTGAGTATGCATCGAGAGAAGTCAGTTTTGGAGTCTCTTTAGGAAGCATTCGACTGTGAAACGCACGGAAAACGGCGTCATATCATCAATTTCTGTCCGAAAAATCACAATTAAGCACCTTCAACACAATCATTGATTGAAGCATTGTTTTTTAGTCTGTTATCTTCAAGTGTTTTTGATACAATTATGCAATTGATAACGCGCTGCTGCTTAATTTCCCACGCCTTTTATCGCACATTTTCTCAACACAGCGCACAAGGAAGCAGTTCAAGTCGTCATCTGCGTAGCTTCATAAGCCACACAGTTTAATTACTCTCGTAAAATATGTTTCTGCCCAACTTCCTCCAACTCACCGATGATGCCCTCGATGTCTTTGTAGCAGTAGCTCGCCATGACGGTCTCCGTGGCCGGATCGAGCTGGTCCAGGGAGTACGGCGTGACTTCCAGCACGATGGGCAGATTGATGCCCGACCAGTGGTGCTTGTAGGCCTGGTACTTCTGCACGGGCTTCATCTTCTCGGCGAACTCCTTGTGGAAGCGCAGGATGGACGTGAGGATGTCGTTGCGGAACTCCGACGACAGCTTGATGGTGTCCAGCTTCTTCTCCTTGCGCACCGTCAGCTGGAACTCGTGGATGTTGCCCGTCTTGTTGGGCACCACGCTCACCACGTCGCCGTACGGCCAGCGATTGGTCAGGTCGAACTTGTCCGGGTTGTAGGTGGACACTCCGGTGGAGCCGACGCCCAGGATGCGCTTGTACTTGCCCTTCCACGAGTGCTTCGTCACGAGGAAGCACTCCAGGTCGACGTTCTCCTTCATGGCCGTCATTTCCGGGTGGGGACGAATTCTCTTGAGGATTTCACGTGGATTCTCTCTCTGTCCAGAAGAATCTCATAACAGCATTCTGCAAGTGAGAGAGACAGCGGTAAATGGGAGTTTTTGCTGGTCGCCCGATAAGCGAGCAGCTGAATCACTCGCAATTGGCTTTAAGAGGGACTCCCCACTTGGCAATCCCCTTTGTTCCGCTCTCGTGGCCGCAGAGCACTAGCCCAGGCGCTGGCCAGCTAGCAGCCCCGTCCGCTGGAGGCACAGCAAGCGGACGGGACAAAGGAATTGGCGGAAAAAGAGAGAAAAACAGAAATTGCGAGAGACAACTTGTCAAAACTGATAACACTCATTTTCCCCACTTTCTCCACCAAATTCCACCGTATTTCCACACAAATTACCTCCGTGGTGTGCCTACAGTGAATATCCAGCACGATTTTTCAGCCAAATTGCCCTTTTTCCACGTGAAAACTCACTTTTATCTCGACTCTCTGCGAACTTTTTTCACCCACGTTTGACAGCCGATCGCGAAATATAGAAAACTGAGCGAAAGTCGCCGAATCGTCGCCGAGCGGCGATGTTTCAATTCAAATGATGAGAAACCAGTAAAAGGGGCTTTTCACATGGTTAAAACATTTATTCCCATTACAGCACAGAACATTGTTCGAACATCAACCTAGCAGAGCACAGTTGAACTGTGTTATCACCTAAACCACGAGAGAAAAGAGAAAGTTGAAGACGAGCTGCGCGAAGCAGTGATATTTCACTTTCTTCGACGAGGAGATTTAGGCCGCCGCCAGGGCGATTTGCGGACAATTGGGAATCTGACAGAGAATCTCCGGGCCGCACTTCACGGCTCTCAGGCTGTCCAGCAGCACAGGCTTCTGGCAAGTGTTGCACACCGACTCGCGGCGGAGATTCATGTCCAGCTGCTGCCACACGGCCTTCATGTTCGCCACCAGGCCGTCCATCATCTCGGGCGTGTGATAGGGCGTCGGCGCCAGACGCAGCTTCTCCTCGCCACGCGCCACCGTGGGATAGTTGATGGCCTGCACGTACTGGCCGAACTCGCGGATCAGCAGATCCGACACCTGGTTGCACTTGAGCGGGTCGCCGACGCGAATGGCGATGATGTGGCTGGGCGTGGGCTCCACCGGGAAGCCCTCGCGCCGCAGCAGCTGGCGCAGGTACTGCACGTTGGTCTGGTGGCGGCGCCGCAGCTCGCGCCCCTCACTCGACGAGAGGATCTCCACGGCCTTCAGCGCGCCCGCCAGCACAGTCGGTGGGAGAGACGTGGTGAAGATGAAGCCCGCCGCGTATGAGCGGATCATGTCCACGAGATTAGCGGAGCCGGCTGCAAAGAGACATTTCATATTAGGCGTTCATCCTTTACAGCACGAACATAATATTGGAGTTTAACACATTTCAAGTGGCATTTAAACTTTTTCTTCAACGGATTTTCTTCTACCTTATATTCCGGTAAATGAAATGGACTTGAATATGATTTAATCATCAGGAAGAGTGAGTACTTATGCATTTGGAGGGCAGTTTCTTATTAAGAATACTTTATTCTTGTTTATGTTCTGTTTGAAGCATCTTTCTGGCTCGTAAAGCCATTAAAATGAGATTCTCAAGTTCAAGTTAGTCTGTAAAATGAACTAGAAAATCTTCCCTGAGTTTTAATTGCGTATGAAAACAGAATTACGTGATTCTCCACGCTAGAATAATAAGAAAAATGACGTCAAATCACTTATTGCTTACAGACAAGCTCATTTACAGTTTTTACATCACTTTTCCGGAAATTTTAGATGATAGAAGAGAATTTAAAGCCTAAGTAGAAACTATTTCACACAAGATTTCCACTTTCTAAAGATGTCATCTTCACGATCGAGCTAATGTGAAATCTTGAGATCATCTTAGTGTTTATCGCATTTAGAGCTTCAAAATGTGGGTCAAATGTGATTTATTTTTTTCAATTACTAATTCAATTTATGGCTTTTAATGTAAAATATCATGAAAATTCTAGTGTAAAACACAGTCAGCGTTGAAAAGTTAACATTTACACCATTTTTCATGGTGATTCTTATCAGAATTTCTCCGTTGAAGTGACTTTTGTTGATTTCCTTGCAACTCCAATTTTCTGCCACAGACTTAAAGGTCGCCGAGCAATTATTAATAATTTCATTACGTAATTAATTAACCCCTCAATTGAACCTGACCGATTGGTGAGATTCACCAAGTTCGCGATAGCGAGACATTGAATTCAATCTACTCAATGTTATCGCGGCACGCAGCCGTGATTGCGACATTCTTGCAGCATTAACTCACCTATGTAGCCGCCAATGTTGCCGAAGGCTTTTCCCAGCGTCCCGGAAATGATGTCCATGTTGTGCAGCTGATTGTCCCTCTCGCCAATGCCCGCGCCGTGCTGCCCGTACAGCCCGACCGCGTGCACCTCGTCGATGAACGTGTAGGCGCCAAACTCGTGCGCCGTGTCGCACAACTCCTCCAGCGGACACACGGCGCCCGTCATCGAGTGCACCGTCTCGAAAGCCACGACTTTCGGCACGCCTGCAAAGTAGGTTGCGTTAAAACCAAAGGGAATATTGCCGGGAAATTAAGAACCTATTGAAGATCAAAAAGATTCATAAGAAAGCGTGAAAGCGTGAGCAGCAGACTGACCCTTGTCCACCTGCTGCAGCATCTCTCTGAGATGGTTCGGGTCGTTGTGGCGGAAGATGTGCTTCGGCACTTGGCTGTTGCGGATGCCCTGGATCATCGACGCGTGGTTGCCGGCGTCCGAGAAGATGTGACAGCCCGGCAGGAGGCGTGACAGCGTGAACAGCGTCGAGTCGTTGGCCACGAAGCACGAGGAGAAGAGCAGCGCCGACTCCTTGTTGTGCAGCTGCGCCAGGCGCTTCTCCAGGCGCTCGTGATAGAGCGAATTCCCAGAGATGTTCCTCGTGCCGCCGGCGCCGGCTCCGTGCTCCTCCAGAGCCTTGCGCACGGCCGCCTTCACTTCCGGATGACACGACATGCCCAGATAGTCGTTGGAGCACCAAACGGTGATGGGACGCTCGCCTGGAACAAGAATTCATCTATTTTTACACCCAATTGCCATCGATCTGCGCTCAATTAGATATTAATTTCATCAATTATTGAAACGCAATCAAGAGAGAAAGCGTTTTTCTGTGTAATCAAAAACCGAGAGAAAACCGTCAATTCATGATGAAACAGTCGATAAGTGGTCACCAATTAGATAAGGGAACTGTGTAAAAGCCAAGCAGTGATGAATGTTGCAGAAAACCTGCTAAAAGTCAGTCTAGTGAGTTTTTTTGGGCTATTCATTGCCGCACAAATAAAAATATTTGTGGTTTCCACACAATAAGAAACAAAATGCAGTTTTTCTCTACATTTCCGGAAGTTTCTGTGGTGTAAAGAAAATGTTTTTGATCATTTTATTATATTATTTTAATAGGAAATAAATTTCTTTATGAAGTCTAAACGGTAAACAACATGACAAATAAAGCCCCAAAAACCGACTTTTAAGTATTGCAGGTGACTTAAAAACATTATTCTTTCATTATCATAACTTCTTCTCGACTCGTGACTTTGATTTATGCGTGCTAAGCTTGTTTTCTTTGCAACACGACAGAAAAATGAGGTTTTTCGCAGGAAATTCACGTCACAGACATGGCAAACAAGGTAACGCGCGATGGGTTAATTTCTCTTCTTTTTACTCTTTGCTATTGTCAAGAGAGAGATAATTGACTAAAATCTGTACAATATTAAATTTTTAATTCAAAATCTTAAGCAATTTTGAAAAGAATTCTTTTGCAGATGAATTTCTAACTTTTTGGCAATATTTTTTAACATGCATTTTCGATTCAAGACAAATATTGTAAGTTTTTCAACACTTTCCAATACATATTTCCGCTTAATTGTACACCACTTCCGATACTGTTTCCCCCTTGAAAGTCAGTGAAGCAGTGATATAAGAAAATCCTTGAAATATCGCATGTTTGACACCAAATTCAAATCGCGATGCAAATGGGAATTCCAGGTGTGCAGAGAAGAAGGAATCACTCACCCCAGGAATACTCCACGGCGCGCGGGAATTTCCCCTGTTCCGCCAGGCGGTTGACCTTCTTGAAGACGCGGTACGAGTGGTCGCGCTTCTTGCGCATTATCTGCTCGGCGAAGAACTGCTCGTAGTGGAATGGTCGCGTGGATGGAATGTCCTGGATGTCCTCGCGCACCTCCGTCACCAGCTTGGACGTGGTGGCGGTGGACAGGAAGGGGCACTTCCTGGCCGGCGTCTCGGGCTCCTGCGGCTTCTTGCTCAGGAAGCTGAAGCCGCGCTTCGCCTGCGGCGCAATGCTGCCCTCCAGCGTGTTGGTCAGCACCGGACAGTGATGGCCGTACGTCTTGAGCAGCAGCGAGGCGTTGTTGCGCAAGAAACTGGCATTGAAGTTACTGAGGAACGGGCAAGGCATCTTCTCAACACTGCTCGCCGCGTATTTTGACTGCTTGATAACTCGAGAGGGATTTGCTGAGTGACCTGGCGAGAAACGACGATAAGGCCGAAATTACTACTTTTTCTGGAATATTCACTCTGCGCCGCACAATTGCCTCTGGGAATTAATAGGCAACGGCGCGCGGTGACTGGCAAATAATTACAGCTTGTGCGAAGTGTACAGAGAAAAACTGTGTTATTTGATTTGCTATTTGTCTTGACGATACAATGATTTATTCAACACTTGGATTGTCAGCAACCGGGCAAAACTGGATATTTATTCATCGTTCCAAGGCTTGTCATCCAACACACAGCTGCCCGTGATTTGCCTCGACACCTCGCCCATCTCTTTCACCAGCGATTTCCAAATTTTACATCATTCTTGCGTGGAATTTCTGCGATTGAAATCCGCACTCACGCGCGCCTCTCCAAAAAACATCGCCTTCGCGCGGGAATTTCAACAAGTGTCATCCCCTCCCCTTCGCCCACTTTTCGACCAGAAAACTCAGGCCCTTTTTCGACAAGGGCTCGCGCGGGGGCGGGGACAGGTGTGAAAAACACCAGCAGGTCGCGAAAATCTCGTGTCACGCGACTCACGACGCTGTAGAAATGATTGTGTGCCAAAAGTAAAAGTTGCACGTTGCGTAATGTCGCGGAGAATTGAGTGAAATTGCTGTGTCCATGGGAAACTCCCTCGGACTTTCTACCTCTAAATCTCACACCTCGGCCGTGCCATTCACTTACTCAGTGGTTTGGTAGGCTTTCTCCGCTTCCAGACTCTGCTGTAGTGTGAATTCTTGGCGCTCGTCTTACTTGCAACTTGTTTCTTGAGCACTTTTCAGAACACTGACGACTTTTGCACGGCCGATCGACTGGTCGACTCTCTATTCCCCATCAATCGGATTTCCCCTCCACGACGAACGTCAATCGTGGAGTTTTTCGTCAAGTGCGAGGCGGCAAATTTTGGCGGCCGAAGAGATTTTAGCTCTCACTTTCACATCGCAATTCTCTTCTTCAAGGAATTGAAATAATGCTGCTTATTTTTCGGTACTTTGCCACAATAAACCATTTATTATAGTTAAAGAATCTGAAATTCCATGAAATATTCTTTTCCCCTTGATTTGGACGAAGAGGCTTTTTCCGTGTAGTTTTTCGATGATTCTTCACAGTGTAAAACATGGTTTGACAGCCGTGAAGCACATCGCAAAGAGGTTAAATGAATCTGCTGAAAACATTCAATAAAACACAGATAAAAGTGGAAGAAGACGTCTCTGATGACCACACATCGCAGGACGGCATGGCGTACGATCAGGAAAATGACTTGGGTGAGAAGCAATCGCGCCACGGGCGCCGGAAAACTCTTATCAGCGCCTTTGTTTTGATCTCGCAGTCACAATTGAGAACATCGACTTGATCTCGGGGGCGCCGTTCTTCGAGTACAACCGCGAGGAGCCCGCCGTGGACGACACAGACGACATCATCATCCTGCACATGGACATCCGGGAGCCGCTGAACAAGCTGCGATCGCTGCTGGAGGAGAGATTGGGACAGAGTCTGAAGTACTTCCAGTTCTGGCTGCAGGATGCGCAAATGCTGGAGGGGCACAAGAATCTGGTGGACCAGTGCGTGCAGGGCGAAGGCCTGGTGCAGATCAACGTTCAGGTGCTGACGAGCAGCAACAAGATCAACATCATCGACGTGCTGAAGCCCACGGACGACATCCTGGAGAACTCCAAGAGCGCCACGCCGAAGAGTCCGCGGGAGAACGCGGAGGAGATGAGCGACAATGAGGACAGCGCGCCGGCGGCGCAGAAGAAGTTCAGCGATCAGTGGGCGATTGACAATCAGTTCAAGCGCGATCAGGCGCGCCTGCAGATCCCGGACAATCCCAGGGACTGGACGACGGCGCAGGTGCGCCACTGGCTGCAGTGGGCCGTGCGTCAGTTCAACCTCACGCAGATCAAGCTGTCGGACTGGTGCATCAGCGGCAAGGATCTGTGCAATATCGAACTGCCGGAGTTCAAGAAGAAGGTTCCCAACGACCCTGGAGACCTCTTCTGGACGCACCTGGAGCTGCTGCGCAAGTGCAAGTACGTGGCGGTGGTGCAGAAGTCACCCGGCGAAGGTGTCTTGCCCACGGAGAGCGCCAACAAGCCACCCAAGGCCGCGTCGCCCGCGAAGGCCAGCAATCGCGTGTGCCTGGACAACATCCGGATGGAACCGATCTTCTGTGGCAACCGCAGCGGCAACAACGGCCAAATCCAGCTGTGGCAGTTCCTGCTGGAGATCCTCACAGACATCGAGCATCGTAGGATCATTCAGTGGGTCGGCGGAAATGGCGAGTTCAAGCTGAGTGACCCGGAAAGAGTGGCGCAACTCTGGGGAGAGCGCAAGAACAAGCCCACGATGAATTACGAGAAGCTGTCCAGGGCGCTGCGCTACTATTACGACGGCGACATGATCTCAAAGGTGCACGGGAGGAGGTGAGAACCCTCAAGAACTGATCCGAATCGACTGATTCAAATTGAATATTTTCCTTGCAGATTCGTCTACAAATTTGTGTGTGATTTGAAGCAGTTGATCGGCTACGACGCCAAAGATCTGGCGCGCCTCGTCATGGAGTGCGACATGGAGGCGGAGTCTCGGGACAAGACGGCCGACTGGGAGTTTTCAGGGACAATCTGAGGAGCGCAAAAGTGAGAAAAGAGAAGAATATTTTGATTACTCTATGAGAAATTTATTAATTTTAAAAGAAAAGCATTTGTCAATCACGATTTGTTTGAAAAGTAGCTGGAAATGCTGTGCATTTTGGGCTCTTTCGCTGCGGATTTCTTCCCTTTACCCTTCTGGGATGCTTGAGTCGGTTTCTGGGAAGACTGAGAAGTCGTCTCGTGTTTGTTCATCTGCATCTGCAACTCTTTCGCCATGTGGTAATCTGAGTGACTGACAGACTCCTCGAGAGGCACCTGAATTCCGCACTTCGGACACTGTTCAGTGGCTCTGCCTTCGCTCTTGACCTCAACACTGCTGAGGAATGTCTTCATTGTTGGCACAGCAGGAGCTGTCTTGGTCACTCGCATCTTCTTGGCTGCGGGCTGCGAAGACGTCAACTTGTCTTTCACCTTCTGGCGGAATTCCGTTCTCTGCTCCTGACTCAGCTGCAGCGCAAAGTGGAAGTCAGCGTGAGATTCCGCCTCAAACTGAGAAATCCGCATGTTGCACTTCTCGCAAACGGTCATGAATTCATCCGGCAGTTGCGGCTTTGCGAATTCCGCGTAGGTCTTCTTGTACTCCGGCGTGGAAGCTTCGTAGATCGCCTCAGACTTGCTTTCTGGAGTCTTTTGGGCAGATGTTGAAGCTTGCGGTGAATTTTCCAAGAAGCTCTTCGCCTCCTTTTCCAAGAGTTCACTGAAAAACCCATCGCTGTTCCCCGAATCGTTCTTCTCGGGTGTTTTCTCTTCGATCTTCGACGTTGAGGGCTGAGGACTCTTTTCTTCCGCTGTCTCTTCACTCACAAACTGCTGAAAGAACCCCTTTTCCTCATCATTTTTCTTGCTTTCCTGCTTCTTGAATATCTCCTGGATGATATTCTTCTTCGGCAGGGGATTCTTCTCGAACTTACTCACGCTCAATCCCAGCAATTTGATTGGATTGTTGACCTTTGACGGATTCTCCACCTGGTAAAATACATCTGTGTTCTTCTTCATCACCTCGAATGCGTCTTCAGCCATCTTCTGAGCATCGTACACGTCCAATTGCACACTCCGGGAGCTGGCGATGTCCTCTCCGCCAATGGCTTGCGTGTAGCTCACCGTCAGGAGCTTCCCTCGGCGGCTGTTCTCCTCTTGATCCTTCTCCAGGCGATCCACGACTTCTGCAGCCAATTCCGTGAGCCAATGCGTGAGCGTCTTCACGCCCGTTATCGCGCCCTTTCCTGGGAACTTCTTGCAGCAGCCGATGCTCTTAGAGATCAGACGCGTCACCACGGGCTCCAGATCCACTCCTCTGGCCAGATAGTACAGCCACGTGCCGTCCTTGTCGTTGAACGCCTTCCGGAGCTCGCTCTCCGAGAACTCCAGCAGATCTCCCATGAACTTCACGTTCAGCTTCTGGCACACAATCTCGCCGAACTTCCCGCCCAGGCCTCTGACCTTCAGGATGGGCATCTGCTCGAAAAGCGTCTGCACGGCGTCGATGCTGATGATCGTCTGCTTGTTGGGCTTGTTCAATCCCGCCACCAACTTAGCCAGAATCTTATTGTGCGCCAGCCCAGCAGAGCACTCGTAGCCCGTGACCTCCTTCACCTCCCGTCGGATGTCATTCACTATTGTGGCTGCCACCAAGAGCTTCAGCTCGTTTCTCCTCTTAACATCCTGCTCTTCAGAGCGACAAGAAGCATTTGCCGCCCGGAAATCCTCCATTTCTTCACTTTCAGAGTCCTCGCCAGTAGACATCCTGGCGGAGAGACTCTTGACGAATTCCCCAAAGGATTTGTGCCCCACGGCGAAGGTGTTGGTAACATTCTCAGGCTTTATGAAGTACTCTCTTTTGTCCATCTCCTTCATTCTCTCCAGCACGTTGCTGCTGATGTCCAGATACGCCTCATCCACGCTCGCCCGCTCCAAATTGGCCGTGAAGGATTGCAACACTCGAGCCACATCCTTCCCAGCCTCGCGGTACTTCGTGAGATCCGCCTTCCCTCGCACTGCAGGCACCCGGACGAGCTCAATCTCCGGACAGTGCTTCCGAGCCTCGTCGCCGCGCATGTGGCGTGTGACACCTCTCGCTCTCGCCGGATAGTTCACCGCAATGATGCTGGGGAGAAAAGCACCACAAAAAGTAGAAAAAATTCTTATCTTTTAGCTGATAAATTTGAGATTCTCACCCGCCTCCCATCCAGTTATTATACTGAACCACCGCCATTGGCTTTCCTCTGAGTTCGGGATTGAGTTTCTCCTCCACTTGGCAGTAGAAACAATCCATGTCCACCAGCACCACTATTCTCTCGTACGTGTTGTTGAAATTCAGCTCTGAACTAGCCATTTTCCGGGGTAAATTAAAAAAATTGTGGGAATTTGCGAATTTCACAATAAACTGTCAAAATCTGGCGCAAAAGCGATAATGCGCCATCTGCTGGTGAACACTGATGTGGATTCACGTTCCACAATTATTGACAAATTGTGTTGTTTATGGAAGGTATTTTTTGGCTTGCATTTCCATCGCATTTTCAGTTGTTTCCCGTGAAAATCACCCCTAAAAGTTCAATGAGTGGTATAAATGAAGTCTCCATACATCAGAATATGGATTATTTGCTTCGTTTGGGCGATGCATACGCTGGAGTGTCAAGAATCTTGAACGTACTGAAGCCGGGCATCCCAAGATGGTCATCAGCTGCTATTGCTATCTTCCCACGCGACTGGGATTCGGCGGCTGTTTCGCAGCAGAACATCAAAGACCTTTGCAAGCACTTATGAAGAACAACTTCATGAATTCGTCGATTCCAGAAGGCTGGTCAGAAATTTCCAGTGTAATTAGAACCATCTGCAGAATTGCTCTCTAGCAACTTGGAGCCAAGAATCCTGGGCAATTATCAAAGAGTGACAGAGATTGTTGGCGCTTAAGAACTGCAAAAAGGTGAGAGCATTTCATGAGCTATTATTAATACTCTGTATATAATTCCTTCTGTGCACTTGCAGGCTCTCGAGGATGCGAAAAAAGGCGCCATTTATCAGTGCTGAACCAGATCCTCATCTCTGGCCATTTCTTCTTGTCTACCTCTGGACTTAATCTTCTCATCTTTTGAGCTCTTGTGTGGATAGAAAATTAGAAGAGTTACAATCTTAAGACGTTGAAATCTCCAGAAGTCGCAGTCCTTCTGAGCACGTGAAGTGCGACGCACGCGGAGCAATCTGCAGAAGGGACAAATTGAATTTCCAGCCAGGATCGCCTGACCCGCGTCTCGGCGTCCGGACGGTTCGGGTGTGAGGAAAAGTGATGTACGGTGCATTTTGATTAATTAATTTAACATGTTTAATTAAATTTTCTGTGGGTCAAGAGAAAGGAGCGCAGGAACAATGGAACGTGACGAAAATGCTGAGGAGCAGAAGTGACGACAGTCGAACGTTTTCCCTGAATTTTCAAATTCCCGTCCATTCTGCAATATTATACAAGTCTATAAAGAGTATTTCTTTAATAAAAGTCTTATACTTTAGTTTTTCCATGCAGTTAAGTGTGAGAGCGACGCACAAGATTCTTGAAAAGTGGCACTTTTAGACATTTTCCAATACTTCACGCACTTCCAGTGAGTCTCAATGGTCTCAACACAAAATTTCCCTCCCTTGTTCGTGTCTTAATCTTGCAGAACCTGCCAAAATTCCCAATTAGCCTGAAGAGATCGCGTGCAGAGATGCTGGAATGGAAGATGAGGAGGAAGATTCGGAGGACATTCACCTCTCTGCATCAAGTGCAATTATAATTGGTCGTTGCTCAAAAATTCCTTTTTGTCCCGAAAAACACATCGCACATCTTATCTTTCTGCCGAAAGATCTTCAGCTGCGATGCAATCTATATTCGATGTCGCACGAGAAAAAAAATCGCTAGTCTTGGATTGAGTTTCAATCAGGCGCGCAAAAGTTGGAGAATTTATTAACGAGGTAAATTAAAGTGCAGTAAAATAATAATGGTCTAGAGTACTCGCGATGCCTTTCCATCCTTTCCATCATCATCTCTCCATTTTTGGCCATCGTTTTTGCCTCGAAATAATTTCCTCTCTTTCATCGGCGCATTTTGCTCTCCCACTGAGATGAGATTTTCATAAAATACAATGATATTAATGGGAATTTATTGGCACTCTCGCGAATAGGTCAGACTCTTGTGTCCAGAATGTCACCGACCAGGTGAGGAGTGAATAAAATTCGGCTGTTTAAAGGGTGGCTTTGCCATATTTCATCGATTTATTTATCGGGAATGGCGGGAATCTCTTTCTCGCGCAGCTGATATATCTCAATCTCCCTTGTCAGCTTATTTATCACTCATATTAATTAATTAGGCACACTCAGGTGGTCGATGAAAGAACATTCCGAACCTCTGGTGGACGGGAAAATTCTTGGAATCCGATTAAATCACGACTTTTTACAGCTAAATTGATTTTTGGCGGGAAAATCCTTGAATATTTTTAATTAATGCACCCACAGAAAGAGCTTCAAAGCTCACGGTGGCTCGAAAGAGCGAGGAAAAATGGCAATTTGGGTCCGGAAACGGCACAGCAAAAGCAGGAAAAATTGGAAGCGAGAGGAAAAGCGTCCAGGAACTGATTGAAGAATAAATCAGAGTCGCTTCTCGTGGTTGAAACAACAAAAATTCCTCTATAATTACATTTTCGAGCAATAAATAAGTTTTATTTGGTATTTTTCACTGCTGCGGCTGAACTCACACCTCGTGTGCCGGAGGAGAATTTCGCCCTGTGTGTGTGTGTGTGTGATTCACTGCAATTTCATCTCGTTTTCCTCTGATTTTTCCCTCCGCAATCATTAATTCTTCTGCCCATTTTTCCGCTTCTCCCGCATGTGAACTTCTTTCTGAGCCAAAAACGCAGGAAAAATGCAAAACTCTCTTATTATCTGTATCGACAAAAAGTCAAACCAAGGGAAAATGGCGATGGTGTGAAAATGTTGCGAGAAAGAAAAGTCGAGGTGATAAATAATAGATTTTTCACAAACAATTAATCGCAAATGCCATAAATCTGGTGAGAAATTCGATCAAGCAGTGAATTGAAGGAAAAAACGTAGTGACAAAACATGAAATTCCGAAGCCTCAATCTCTCGCTTTTGGGGTGGTTCTCGGCGGGCGGGAGAATTATTGGCAGAGTGCGAAGAGGCGATACCTTTTCCCTCCCCCACCGCAATCGCACAATGGACATCTTCGTCCATTCATCCTGGCCGAGCGGCAGAAAAAACGGACGCAAATCACCCCTATCTTGAAAGGCGTCGTGCCATAAACCACCGACATCGAAGTGTCAACTGTCTCCAGTAAATTATCCGCCACCCACCGGCCTTCCGCCCGCGGGCAGCACGCAAGTGCCGGAGCCCCAAGACGAGAGGAAAGTGTGTGTGACATACATAAAGACCAATTTAAATATTTAGTGTGGGATGTCATCTAAATTCACTTTACAGCAGAGCGATTTTTCCCCACGCTCCGGATGCAGAAAGGGTTTTTAACCCTCGCCAGCTGGAGCGAAAATGCTCAGCGCGTTAGCACTTGGACAATTCAGGCGCGTCCTTTAGGGAAATTTGATAGTCAAGTTCCTCCAAAGAATCGGCAAATAATTTAATTGGCTTTCATTTAATGCGGAAGCCTCACTAAAATTGAATGGAAAAATTCGTCTAAACATTAACGGATTATCAATTTGGTTGCACAGAGAAGAATCGTTGGATACTTTATATTAGCCTTTGAGACTTTAGTATTATGACTTCTTGGCACAGAATATTGCAAAGATTTTATTACAATAGTCCTTAAAAATCTGAACATTTGAAAGAATAAGCAAAGTAAGTTCAACGCTCAAATAATGCTCAGATTCTTATTAGCGAGAATAGCTTTTGAACAGCTAACTGAAAAAAGGTTGCTATGTAAATTTTTGCATAAATACAAGCTGAGTAATATGTGCCTGTGTTTGTGATAAAATCAAAGTCAAGACTAATGATTATCAGATTATCTCCGAGCGGGGAACACTGTGCTTTTGAGGTGACATCGGAAAGAAGTGGTAAATAGCGAAGTGGGGAAGTCGCAGTGCGCTGGAATAATTGTGGGATCGGGTCAGGAAGGTGAATTGCGGGGGAGAGTCGAGGCTCGCCAGAGGACTTCGAGTCGGGGGCGATTTAATGTGGGGTGGCAGAGCATAAATGAATATCAGATATTCATAAGGGGCTGAGAGCTAAACTCCCCGAGTTCCTTCTTCATTTTCTCAATATCTCCCCGCTTTCGTGTGTGCCATTTTCCTCTCCACCAAGATATAAGCACCGCTAGTGGCCAGTGTGTATGATATATGTGATTTCCCTTAATAACATATAATGGTGATATATCAAACAGAATTTATTCCAACAATTAGACACAACTTTGGCCATTCATCAAAATACGGATTTTAGTTTTGGCCCAAACGAGCTCCAGAGATGGCAGCCGCGTTATACGATTGTCCTAAGGGATTATGTTGTATGGTGAATACTTGAATATTATATTTATATGTTGGGATCCAAGTGAGAGAATCACATTCCGGAATTTATATGTATGGTGAATGTGTGCAATCTACAGTGTTTTATGTGGAAAATATAACAATGGATTTGACGTGTGAAAACAAATGGAAAATCATTTTCAATGCCTCTCTCTCTCTCTGCCGCCCATTTCCCACCCCTTTGGGCGCATCCCCAGCACTGTGTGGATGGCGTTTTGAACTCTTTTTTTCGCCCCCCCGAATGCCTGAAAGGCATGCTTTTAGAGGGGATTTTAAGCTTGTGTTTATTAGCTTTCGTGTGAATTTCGTGGCACCCAAAAGAGATGTGGCTGTAAAAATTGATTGAAAAGACTTTCCAGGAGATTCCAACATGGGATTTTCACATTCTTCGCTCTCGCTCCCAATCCACATCCCCAAATCAACTCCCCAGGCAATCGCGAGCAAAGCTGGGGAGCTGTTTTTCTTTGCGTGCGCCCATTAGAGACGAGAAAAAGTGGAGCTCCTTCGGCAGAAGGGGGGGGGAAAGGAATAAAGCTTCTGGTGGAGGAATTTGAATGGGGGCAGAAAAGACTGTGTCATAATTTGAATTTGAATAGAATCAATTTCGTTAAATGCTTCTTTCACTCCCCTGATCGAACGCCATCGTGTTCTATTTGCTTTATAAATTCATTCGGCCTACACTCAGAACAATCACAAGTCTGGCTTGTTTATGTACTGATTTCGGGTGAATATATACGACTCTAATTAGGTGAATGGAAAAGATGCAAATTTCCAGTGATGAAATCGACAAATTAAATTGCGATAAGAATGTAAACATGATAAGA